TTTTACATCTGGAGGATACATGACCTTTCTTAAAATATTCTGTAACAACGTCCATGGTTTTTTAATATTGCTGTCTTTTTTTGCTCATTTGTTTTCTCACATTTTTCCTACATCAGGCGTGCATTTTGATTACAATAGAAACAATATGGCTTCGTCACTGTAGCTAACGCCGAAGCAGTAGGAACGCTTGCCCCTTTTAAGTAATTATTTTTATTCTGCTTAACTCCATAATTTGTGTCCCGTTTCTTTGAGTTTATTATTAAATTAGAAGCTTTCCGACTCTCAACTTCCAATCTTATTAATTCGAGAAGTTCTGTTAGGTTATATTGCTGTTTAGAGTTTCTTTTTCTATTAAACTCCAGATTCATACAGTCTGATAAAAGCTTTAAAATAACAGGTCCTAAAAGGGTCCTGTAAGCTTCCGACACAATACCTAATGAATTTAAACTTCTTATATTGATTTCACAGGAATCGTAAAGTGTTCTTAGTACTTTCACATTGGACGAACTTCTAACCGGTTCAAGATTCAAGAGTTTATTCATGTGCGAAGATATTACCAAATCTGTTCGTCCAAATCTTTCTTTAATTCAACTTATAGAAGCGACATAATTTTCATTAGATAGTGCAAACCCAGATACTGCAATTAAAGCAGGTCCTGCGAGGTAAGGATTTAAGATAGGTAAAACTTCTCGACCTTTGTTAACTCATTATTATTACCAATAGCATTTCAAAAGAATTATAAAATTCCAAAAATAAACTAGGATCACCATAATATTTAGGAATTGAAATTTTAGGTAACCGAATGTTAGTTTTGTTTTCGACCTTTAAAGCAGTAGTATGGTTACCAGGCGATTCATTTTCAAAGTTCACTATCTGAGAATTTAAATTAAGTTTCTTTTTAGCCCTAAAAATACATAAACTCATTTTTTCATCATACTCTAACACAGTATTACATTCTTTCGCAATTTCAGCCTCATCCCCTTCAAAACAATCCAGTATTTTTTCAATAATTTCTTTCAACGCAGATTGTTTAGAAGTAAGTAAAAACACATTTTCTTCTACCATATTCTTATCCAAAATGTCTTTTTTAATTTCAGGTTCTACAAAATTTATTATTTTAGAAATAGCTTGTCTCATAGTTTTTCTAGTAGCTTTCAATTTAACAATATCATCTGCCATAATAACTACAAAAATATTTTTTTCGCTTACTGTGCAATCTTCAAATGGTTTAATCCTAATTTAGCAACTCACTTTACTGGTGAAAGGCATTCACAAGTATTCTGAAAGTTTATCCTGCCACGTTCAGTGCCGAGGAATAATTTTTCAATAACACGAAAAAACACTGCATTCTAAATCAAAAAACTGTTCGTGCGCAGCAGTTGGGCGCCAAAAGTATAAAATATTATATTAACCGTCAAGATTTCAAGATATCCTGGTTCAAGAAACATTAATTCTATTCAAATAACACAAATCACTAAGGTAAATGAACATTACGAATCAGGTTTCAAAAGTCATCTCACACAAAAATTTCGCTGTTTCAACGATTTCATCTTCAACCTTGTAGCATTCTATAATCAAGATTTATTGCTAAAAGTAGAATTAGCTTTTATAGTTGTAAAACTTATTTTAGCAGCTCTTTTGACATAATGATTGGGGATCTGGCTGTCGTAGCCTTGAGCCGGCATTCAAATCTTCAAGAAGGAACGGATTTCTGTTAGAGTGTTAACAACATTTGAGTATTATCGAGCAGAATAACAAGTGAAATAAACCAAAATACCACCCAACTTATTTTAGACTTCTCCTTTTCAGACTATACACTGGAAAGAAATTTCATAACAGAAAATATGGTTTCAGTAGAATAATTCGTTTTGGACGGCAAAGGAATCTAATAATAATAATAAAATTTACAATAAAGTTCCTGAACGACCAGTCGTCTTTCGCTTACTTCAGAAAAAAATACATATCGATCTATCCAACACAGGAATGTGCGTTTTATTAAACGCATTAAATTACTCCTCATTTGAGACTTCTTGAGGGTCCAATGATCGAACGTTTGAGTTTTTTCTTTCCGGCAAATGTAATTAGTCCTCAGTCAAAATGTACAGCACTTGTTTCCATTCCACTATAACATTCAGTCACTACAAACACTCTTGAATGAACTACTCGTTGTTTCTTAAAAATATAAGGTAATATATTTTAAGCTTTTTTTCATCTAAATCATCACCTACTCTATAAAAATTATCTTCATTCATCTCTGCTGAATCGACTACATTTATAGTTGTTTCTGACAACAGTAGCAACAAACATTTCACTTTTTCTGGTCTCTAAATTCTTAAGTTCACTTCTGTAGCTGAAAGATTGTTCTTTCGCATTAAGAAAATATATTTTAAAAGTGGACATTTCATCTTTTGCAAATGACAGCCACGGTTTCTAGCAAAAGTTACTATAGTTTTTCATAACTTAGCAGGGCATTCGTTCTTTGAGACCCGGTAAAGTCGAAACGTAAAACAACCGAAGCCCATCAAACACGTTTCTGATGGCTGTTTATGATGATGATTTTGAAGAATAATTTATAACTAACTAATAAACAAGCATATTTATCGTTAAACTGATACAAAACTGGTCTATTTATCAAAATAATGAAACGGCCAGAAAGTTTGTTTTAAGTACATATAGTCAGTCAGCTTCCTGGCTTACCTGGCTTTGTCACAATAAAATGCTTTTTGTCCACAAGTAGTTTTGACATACTACGGACTTGCCCATGGATAGTTCTTTCCGTCTTATTCTTGTGGATGTCTACTGCACTATTTTGAAATAAAAAGGACTAAAGACAGAAGACTAAATTTCCCATTTTGTATTCGTTATATCAATGACACTGGCAATGAAAAAAATATTCTTATAAGTTCGATCAATTATGAATTCTATAGATTCTGTAGTTCAATTCGCTTCTTAACTTGAAACTCCCAATGCTTTATATTTTCTTTATATTTTAGACTCACGAGACAATTCTAATTTTCATACCTCAGTGTATTAAAAACCTTTTTTAGTTTGTTTCCCGTCAAATGCTTGATCCTGCGAGATTCTACTAAATAAAAATTAGCCTCTTTCTACACATTTGTTTCCCATGTTTTAAAGTTAGTTCTCTAATTTCTCCCTTGCAGGGCCGGATTTAGACTTGATAAGGGCCTAAGCTATTTGAGATATGGGGCCCTTTATGAATCCAGATATTATATGTTAGTGCCAAATATGATTTTTGGATATCTTGAGGGTTTATTTGGGGGCCTCCAAGAAATTAGGGACCCTAAGCTATATTACATAAATTTTGCATTGCTCTCTTGATCAGAAAATGAACTGTTTGAGAGCCGTTGGAATAGATAGTCTTTTCGTTTCATCAGATGAATGAATTCCATTTCTGATAATAAAAACAGTTTTCTACCTCCAATGAATAATAATAATAATTTACATGACAGAGCCATATCGGCTATCATAACCAGACTTAGGACAAATCACTTAAAAGTGATGAGGATTTCTGCAGATGGACAGCGTAGGTACACCAACGTTTGTCCTTATTGCCCAGATGACATCCCACTGTCTCGCCATCACATCTTCAGCTGCCCAGCAATCCAGGCCAGACTTTTTAACAACGGCATTGAAGACCCAGTGGACCTACTTTATACTGTTAGAGCTGCCGAGGTTGCAAAAGCTGTCTTTGACAGCTTCGGAGATATATAATTGCACTTTGTCATAGACACGACATCATCGTCAATAATTTAGATGTTGGGCTTTCTATGCCGTATCAGTTGCAAAATTAAGCTTATTTTATTAATTCAACCTTCGTGTTATATTTCTCCTGTTAAACAAGTACTTAAATCTCACGTGAATTTCTTCTGTAATTCTGTTTTTAAACATCCTATGTCTAACATTCTTCTGGCGGACTTCGGACTCTAATCCTGGCATTCCTGGGTATTTCAGTAAGCATATATTTCAAAATTTGTAATTTTATGATGCAAGGTTATTAAAATTTTGAATAATCAGTTATTTTAGGATTTAATCCTTTACTTTCAATTCCCTTTTCGTTTCCCTACCAGAATGCAAATTAGTTCGAGAGTATATAAGGTGATATTTTCGGATGTAAGACTGAATATGTTTCAGCATCTCGAAGCTACGTTACTAGGTTTAGTAGGCCCAGATAAGATTGTATTCTTTGGCTTTGTGTTACAAGTATGACATTTAAATTGTTACGCCGGTGAGAGATTTGAGAGAACTTCGCGTTAAATCATTTATGCAGCCCTTGGCGACTAAGATTTTAAATATGAATTTGACTCTTACTTTAAGCTACATCGTCACAAACAGTTGGCAGACTTGTAAGCACGAGTCGTGCATTTATGCTCTAGTTCTGATTTAAAAAAAAAGGTTTGTTTTAAAACCTTTTTAAGACTTTGTAGTTGTTTCGAGAAGAAGCAACATTTTGCTCCAAGTCTGTTAGAAGTTTGGACTTTATGCTAGCAAAGAAGACTAAATTCTATAATGTTATTTTTAATGTATGATGTGATCAATTTATAAGGTATCTCTCCCGCCTTCTTAGCATGCCTTCGTGGGGAAATGGTCAGCACACTCGGCGCGTATTCGAGAGGTCCGAGGTTCGAGTCTCGGCGAGGTCATTGTTCATTTTTCATGTCTCCTACTTCGAAATAACCTAATGTCTCTAAAAATTGTCCATTAAACTGCGTTGAAATGTATAAGTAAATAAAATAAAACCTTGGAATTTTTCAACAGTTACACTTCTTAAAGTAATTTGTTTAATTTTTTTTAAATGCTGAAAAATGAACATTGAGATTTTATTGTAAAGTCTGGAACCTTCTTCCCCTTTTATTGCGTGAAGTTGAGAAAAGGAGACATATACGTATGTTTAGTTGCAGTCATAGGTAAAGACAAACATTGCTGTATCTACTCCAGTAAAAGTGCATGGTATTATTTTTGTTAAAGAACTTTAAAGGAAACAGTTGGAAAATTTTGCTTTATTTACACAGCATGTAATTGACATATTAAACAGACATAGCTTAGAAAACGGTTAAAAAATTTAATGAAATACTTTAAAACATAGTAGGCAGTAAGAAGTTGTTAAAGACATTAAGCAACATTCTAGGATGAAAAGAAAAGTATTTGAAGTAGTTGTTTTAGGAGAGAATAAATAGCATTTAAGTTAGATAATAGAAAAAGTATGTATAAACATAAGATAATAGTTTTTAAATAACTTGCAGAACAGGGACTGAAAATAACGAAAATAAGCTAAATGTATTGACAGACACGTGCACATGATCCTCAACCGCTCCATGACTCAGGTAAGAATAACACTAACTAAAAGTCACCCCTCAGTAATTCTCTGCCCAACCTCCTCACGCATTTTTGAAAGGGAACGGAATGGAAAGAAAGTTGCAAAAGGCTTACATATATCTGAGCGCATAGTGGATTCCAAGACGTAAATATGCAAAACATCCATGACAATCCAAACAAGGTACTCACAATTACTCAAAAACAAAACATTTAAGCCCCGAAATTGTTTCTCAGTTATGCAATGATTTCTTAACTCGGTTTTCTGCAATTTATTTTCCTAAAATAAATTAATTTAGGAGAAAAAAAACAAACTATACCATAATATTTATGACTGCTCCAGAAATAATATCAGAAATTTTTTATCAACTTACCAAGATACATTAGTAATGTTTTAGCTAATTTTTTTCTCCAACTTTTGTCAAGAGTTTTAATCAATCACTCAATTGGAATCGGCATAAATATTTTCAGTGTTAGTTCATATAGTGCTTTTAATTTAAGTGTCACTTTTTTGTTCCACTGTAAGAGGCTGACCTTTTTATAGGACTCCATAAATGAACTTTTTTTTTCATTTAATTCTTTTCATCTACACGCAAATGCAACTACTTATGCCATTTCCCTTCGTCGGGAATTCTTGCTTTTTGATTATGCTGAAAAATAATAGAAAGTTCATATAATGCTATCAGGGAATATTTTAATTAATATTTACCGTGAGAATATTTTAATTTCTGGGAATAAAAAGACGTATGACAATTCTAGTTAGTAAAAAATCATGCTAGTAAGTATGTATGCTTGAATTCGACTGAAGCTGGACAAAAATATTTTTTGAGAATAAAATAGACTATTTTATGTATTATTCCTCTAGTAATTGCATATACGTGTCTCCATGAAAAGAAAAAGATATATGTTAGCGTAATACCAAAGTATTCGTAAAACATTTGTGGTTTGGAAATGACAAATATTTGTATATGATGCCACTACCTCACTAGCTCGACGCAGTCTCCGTCTGCATGCTTAGTGGCGAGTACAAATTGTCTACTCTAATCATATATAAAATACAGAACAGTCAACAAGACATATGTCATGAAGATGAGTTGGCAATTATTCACAACCCATTAGAAATCTAAAAAAGGAAAACAACCATATGGCAAGGAAAGACCAGAACGAGATCTTTCTCATCGAGGGTCATTCTCCGTCTTTTTCCATCGGCGACCTAGTAAAGCTCAGATATCACATTCACTTTGTTCCTTGTGTCAGTAATAATATGCCTAGCAATTATCCAGAGGTACCATTGGCAATATATTGCAAAGTCATCTGGTCCAACAAGGACTGCATGATTCTTCCGAAATCTAAGATACACGACAGCAGAAGCACACTGAAGAACAAGTACTTAAAACAAGGAAACAAAGAAATTATTTTCACTTTCGTTCTAAGTACATTTTGTTGCTAACCTATCGCTGTTGGTAAAAACTTTAGCACCGTAGTTTAACTAACTTAGTAAATCTATAGTCGCCAGTTTAACATATTTTATAAATTTCTTTTACTTAACGCCCTGTTGACTGACATTACACACCAAATCGTCGGATTATCGATGGGTAAGTCTATCAAGTACAACACAGTTTAACAGGAAACAGAGTAATATCATTTTACCACAACCTGGAAATTTATTAAAGCTTAATAGGAAAGATGAAATGATCAACTCAAAAGTTTTAGTTCAACCGAATGAACTTATTAAAAGAAGCGATTGGATTAAAGCTACACTTGCCTGATAGGTAAAACTACTAAAATTTCACTAAATAAAATCTCTCCTACAAACTACTAAAATTTCACTAACTACTAAAAGTACTGCTTGTCATTCGAAGACTTCATTGAAATCTCTAGTTATAAGTAATTAGCGTCAGGTAGTACCTACGATAATGGATGGAGAAAAATTTATATCAATGAAAATCAATTTAATCAGTTATCAAATATAATAAATATCCATTATATTACCCTTTTTCTTCCATTTAACTAATTCAAATCACATTCTGTAATGAGTTTTCAAATGGAATGTATATAGAAATAAAGAAAAAAAAGACGAGAAGAATTATTATCTCTGTTTAAGAATTCTGAACGAGAGAGATATGAACAAATGATATAAGAAACAAACCTTCAAGACCTCGATATGTACGTAAAAGAAATATTTATTCCATGAAACTTAAAGCTCATTTACATGATTTAAAAATTTAAATTGAATGATAAAATTAAGTTTATATTTAAGCCATGGAATGGTTGTACTAGAAATGCGAATTTGGACTAAAGTACATAACGAAAATTTCTGTCGTACTTATTTATTTGTTCGCAAGTTATATGGCATATTTTTAAAACTTTTCTTTCCTAAATAATGCACACATTATTCGTACATTTACGTTTAGTTGAGAAATCTCAATTAAATATTGCTCTAAAGTATCTTAAAATAAAAATTATCCTTAAAGAAGAAACCTAAAATGCTTTTTATTTTGGGTTTGGAAATTCAAAATAAAAAGCATATGAAAAAGAACAGAAATAAAACTTTCATTATAAATTAAAACAGCAGTCCCTGCTGCATACATCAATCTAAAAAAGAATAATTTTAATATTTTAAGAGAGAAATCCAGCTTAAATTTCTGATAAATATACTGTATTAGCCCGAATTTGAGGCGGTATAACCTAAGAAAAAGACGATGAAGTTTTGATGGTTTTAAAAGGAAAGCACTTAGTTTGCATATAATATAACTTCACGTATATCATGTTTATAGAGTTATATTAAGTATTCCGTTATACGAAAATGTCTTCATAATGATTCCCGTCATAAGGATGGCGCGGGGGAAAGTTTATGAAATTCCAATGGCGTGCCGTGGTTTTTATCAAAGGGACTAGCAGATATGAAGAATCATTATAATCCTGTCTAAGACGACCGCTCACGGAAAATGGAAGTGATCATCTTTTTATAGGGATAAAATTCAATACTAGTATTTATTCAAGTTCTCAGAAATATTGGTCACTTTCAGAAGCGATCATCTTAGGGAGTGATCTTCATAACAATGTTTAGTATACCTAGAATGCGAAGATAATAAGTACAGTAATGGTTAATATGCTTTAATAAATTTATGAAAAATCTGGTAAAGAGAGGAGATCAAAGCGAACCTACCACATTATAATAAATAACTTTTTTAATTCAGTAGATGCCACAAAAAATAAATAATAAATTAAAAACATTTTATCTCAAAAAGAACATGAGGCCAGCTTTTGTGGCTTTTGCAAACATACTACTCTCAAAGGAATCTTGGTAGTCAAGTGCTCAAGACCATAGGATTATGATACTGAGATCTGATCAGCACATTATCATAAAACGTATTTGGAAGCTGTTCGCGCATTGCTTTGTAATGGTATCTTGTGTAGGACTAGTTCTTCGTATGGCTTTTCTCATCATAGCTTAAACATGGAATTATTACTTAATACATTTTATTTCGGAACTTCTATGGGCCACAAGAGCGCTTTTATGAAAAAGAACAAATAACACTAAATTTTAAATCAATTTCTCTTATAGAGATAACGAGAAAATAAAATTTCTTACAAAGTTACAGTCAATAATTCACTGCATGACTACGGTGGCTACAGAAACACGTGAATAGCTAGACTTTCTTGGAGTAAAGCCGACATAGCTCCAGCTCATCCCGTTAGCTCAAAGGCCAATTATACTCAATGACATTCGGTTTCAAAAGAGGCAATATGGAGTTCTTTTTACTCCTTTTGAATGTTGCTTAAAAATAAATTTGAAAGTGTTAATGTAATAAATATTAGGGAAGTAGCCCAGTACCTCTAGTCTATTGACAGCATGACACTGGACAAATTGACCATTATTAACCCAAACAGAGACTTTCACAAGAGTGCGCTGCCGCTTCTTTCCTGTAAAGATCAGATTTCAGCTTAAATAAACTAATTTTCATAGTTTTTCAAAGTTTCGCCACTATATTGCGCGGGTGCAGCCGTTCAATTATGATTTTCCTCTGCTGTACTAATTAAAGTAGCATAATAAAAGCTTATTTGGGTAATAACAGTGTCTAGGATAAAAGTTGCGGGCACATTTAGGAAGCTTTTGTCAAATTAAAAGCAGGTTGTACTGAAGGTTCTACCACTTTTAAGCTTGGCATCATTGTAAAGGATTTTGTCTTAGCGAAACATGATCAACTGATATCTGTATGCAGATGCATCTTGGTCCGTTGGGTCTCATAAATACAACACTTTAAGTTAAAATTAAGAAAATGTATTTTTAACGTAACAAATGATTGGATAATTAGATAATTAATGCTAAATTATCTTAAATAGTTTTGAATGTTATTTTACTAAAATACAGAGAGAATTTCAGAGGCACTCTGAGGATAAAGCATCGTCTTTTATCCGGGGCAATACAGAAATATTAACAAATAAATACAGGAAAACATAACTGCATGTTTGGAAATGATGGGAATGGGAATTGTAAATATAAGTAATATAGTTACCTTTAAAATTTAAACCTTGAGCTGATTTTGTGTAACAATGCAAAATGAAGACAGTGACACAGTCACATGCTTCAACAGGGCTGATAACAATTGAAAGTTTAAAACCAAATGTCTGTACATTGAGTAATGAATACAAACATGCATATATACAATGACAATGAGAAAAAGCTTCAATGGAAGTCAGATTTATAATAAAAAAGAGGCACTTCTGGTGTCATTTGATGGAATGGAAGCTAAAGGAATTTGGCTGCCAGATGGACACTTTGAACCGTTCAAAACACAGTTCTCTCGTTGAAACAACGGAACAAAGGAATCACAGTTCAATGCAAATCATCAGAGTAATGAATTAAAAAGCGAAGCGACTGATTTCAAGGTCTTAGCTTCATTCAAAGTTCTCTGTTGGAGGTAAAAAATTTAGAACGGAGCTAACGTAAACGGCAATATTTTCATCAATTTTAAATCTATCTAAACAATTTAAAATTATGGCTTTTTTCTTCAAAGTAATGTGCTCAACGCTTCAGTAATTTATATAGGAATCTATTTATAAAGAAATTCAGTATATCTGAAATAATTTAGTTTCAGATTTGCGTTTCTCAGTCCAGTATTTGCATGAAAGAATGTGAATGAAAAAGAATTTGATGAACCTATCTATAAAAATAACTTAAAAATTCTTAAAGCAAGTTAAAAGGATGTATAAAGCAAATTTCGCATGGCATTCAAAATTACGGAAAAGAGGAATTATTTCCAGATAGGTGAGATAAGCCTTATTATGTTACTTTCTTCAACGAAGTTTTCAGTGGTACCGATTTCAGTCTTTAAATACTGTAAGGGGGCATTCCTTACTTCATAAGAGTCAAATGTGATTACAATCTTTCTTAACGCTTTTGAAACTATTCAGATAAGGTACAAAAACACAGGAGAATTTTTTAAGGACACATATTGATGTTTTATGTGTGGACATCACTCACTTGAATTTAGAAAATTTAGCATCCTATCCTCTGACAAAATACAGGTGTTCTGTCTAAATATAACATTGAAAATTATTTTTGGATTGCTAAATCTTTGACACAACTAAACAAATGCAGTTGTAATAATTTTATGTAGGGATTAATTAAGAGCTGGAAATAATTTTAAAGATTCATCAGCTGCAAAAATGTTGAGAAACGCTGTTTAAATTAAATTGAAAAAAATTATTTTGGACAAAATTATGCTTAATGAAAAATTTTATACGAGAAACAAGCTTTAAAAAAAGATATCTGAAATCCTTTCATTTTCAGCATTATGTAAAATGGACTTTAAAAGCATGAATATTCGACTGCTTCGCTTTTTAAGTTCAAAGCTCTGGCAACATGTATGTTATGTATTTGAGCATGGAAGGTATTTTGAGTCCAGAAAGTCACTGATCTGAACTCTAAAAACTACACTTGTTTTGAGCAGAGTCTCCTACAATCATGTCATACAATTTGTCTATGAATATCATGACTTGTCCTGCAGTTCCCTGTCGTAGTTTGTTCCACTCCATTCCAACGGGCCTGAGTGTCCCTTGGATTCCTAGAGCTTGATGTGTGAGCGAGGCCACAAGACGCCGCAAGAGATCAGTTCTGATGGCTGTAGATTTGGGCTGCAGTTTAGCTATGAATCGAACAAGGTATTCTGTTGTGTACCGTGTGCCCTAGAAAAATATTTTGTGAGAGTCAATAAATATACATCAAACCAGACAATTATGGAGCTTTAAAGGTAAAAAATTAAATTTATTATGCTTTAATAATAAATAGAAAATTAGCATGCTGTCTTATTATGGAGGTCTGTTTTGTTTATAGAGTGCGTACTGTCTTGCTTTACAAAATTAATCAAACACATCATAAAATGTTTTATAATAGAATCAGAAACATGTTATCAACATATGCTGTAATACAAGGTACATGAAACAATAATTTTATATATAGATCAAATTTGGTTGATATGTTCTATTGAACACAGTGGTGCATGTGATATTCTGATTATCGGAGAGTAATTCACTGAAACATATTTAATAAAACATGAGTTTCAACATTTTCATCGATTTCTTTGGCAAATCACAGTTTATGGGTTTATGAATTTCTTTTATGTTTCTCAAATACCCTTGTTTATCAAGTACATTTTCTTAAACAGAAAATAATGGGCTTTGTGACGAATGTGCTTGTTCTACATACTTTTGTCGCTGTAAGGAGGGTATAGAGAATATTAATTTTGAAAACGCAAAAGGTTCCGCGAGATATAATAGGTAAAAAGGTCAGTCAAAATGAGACTCACATTATCAAGTTTTTGCAAGATCTCCATAGGCTTATCAGCACGGATAACGATAATTGATAAATCGTTCTTATTTAGAACTGGCTCCTAAAAGAAAGTACAGTTTTAAAATTATTATTAGTTTATAAAAAATTATGAAACTCAAGGCAATGATACAAACATAAGAGGAAAATGATAGCTGCAATAAAAGGTATTAATAATGAAGGCTAACAGATTAAAAATTAGTTTGAAACTTCTCAAAATCCAAGATATAAACCTACCATGTACTTTATTTTTACCTGAAAACTTCTTTAATACAATACAAATATTTTTCATGTTAAAAATAAATGCGACTGAAAATTTCACTTTCAACCCAAGCTGCAACTAGAAGTTGTCTGCCGAGAAGGGAGGTAGTAATTCTTTACAGCTTTTGTCCTAATCGCTATACATATTTGCCCTAATTAAAAATACTCGAAAAGGTTTAAAAGATAATTTAATTTTTCTGAAAGAATTTAGATACCCATACCATTCTTTTTCCTTAGTTTAATTATTAACATAATATCTGGTAATCTGGACATGCTTTTTCAAATGATGTAGCCACTACCTGCAACACATTTTTTGCAGGTATCTGATTAAGATGAGATCATCTGTATTCAACTTTAAAAAGTTTGATATTTCGGGAAAAGTCAGAAATCAGTTAGTTTCAGATGAGGTGTTAACTTGTAGAATGGAGTTTCAATTTAACTGAAGACTTCCATTGCCGAAGATCTCAGAGTCTTAAGAAAGAATCTACGTCACAAATTGTCATGTTGAACAATTTTTGAATAATTGAGATTTTTATCACTTGGACATACACATAATATGACAACAGTGTAATTAACAAAACAAACTATTTAAATGATTTCACCTTAACAACTGAATAAATTAAGGATATAAAATAACTTTATTTTCATTATTATTATAATTATTATTATTTGCCTTTTACAAATACTAAACTTGTAAAAAGATCATTCTCAACTTAAGGTGAAATGTGTATTAAAAAATAAGAAAATGTTTACCCGTAATTGATCTAACCAGCTCCAGAGCAGACCGGACAGCATTATTGGATCAGTTTCTTTCGCCACTTTCTCCCATGTTGATGAACGGTTATTCAGAGCTCTCTGCAAAGAATGCTTTCAATGTTATTACATTACGATGTTATTACAATGTTATTAAAATAACAACCTAAGACAATAAACTAAAAATAATTATTCAGTACGTATTTAATGAAAACTTTCATATCTGATATATTTTACACATAGATTTAGAAGTCTCTTACAACAACGATGGTTTAGCTTATCATTTCCTACATTACGGTAACTTTCCTAAAGAATTCTTAAACATTTAATTCACAAATTTATAGTTTAATTCGAAAACACTATAAAGCGGCGTTCTGTAATGAATTTAAAAACTGTGACTCAGGTCTTTTCATATTAAAACCTGAATTAAGTCTTATTAGTTAATTAAGTGTGGTAATAAAAGAAAACTATGTTCATGAGTTGATTCAAAAATCCAATTGGATTCGTTTTTCCATATTTTAAGTTATTTCTTGAATCCCTAAAAACAGTTCACAAAAATAACATGCGTTGCATTTGTCAAATTTTTTGATCAAATTAATAAGCAAATGGAAAAGGGTAAGCAATAGTTAACATGAACTTTGAAAGCTTATTTAGAAAAATTCATAATTTAAGAGTTTTTTATTGTTATATTAAAAATTAGAGAACTTTATTCTGCTTCTGCTTGTCTCATTTAAGACATTTAAGAAAATACACTGAAAAATATCTCTTTACATTGCTTATTTCTCAAAAAACTTCATTAGTATTTCCTTTTAGAACTTTAATTTTTAATTGCTAATTTCTAAAAGTACCACTTTATTGGCATTTCTTTTTGGACATTCTTCACTCTTTACTTTTGGTTTTGACTTTTACCCTTGCCTGCATGAATGATGAAACACTAATTGACTGATTGAAGAGTTAGGATTGGAGGCAACTTCCCCTTGATAAGTCTGTCTCCTGTCTGCTCAACAGTCACTCACTTATGTATTTTTTTTTAAAAAAAAATTTTAAAAAAAAATTTAGATTAATTTTAATTTGCTAAATTGGTGAATTTATTTTCATGGTTTGGTTTTGCACTTGATTTACTTATGCTACCTGAATTTAAATGATATTCTAGATTAGTTCGAAAATTAAATCTTTTATGTTTGCACAATTTGTAATTATTTTAACTTTAAATTTTACTTTTTTACTTATATACATGTTTGTTAAAATTTAAGTTTGCTTAAATTTAAATTTCATTCCTTGCAGCAATGGTGCAAAGAATTAATTAAATTTGTATTTAAATTAAATTTATTTTTAAGTTCAATTTATTCTTTTGAAACAATCAAGTAAAGAAAGCATATTTAAAATAAAATCTGGACATAAGATCAACTTTAACCTTAAAAGGTAAGTAAAACTCAATTTTAGAATGATGTTAGTGTTTAAAAAATGTTTTATTAATTTCGAAGGAAAATGGATTAAGATCGGATTATTTAAATTATGGCAAAGGCCGCGAAAGCTGCATGTCTAAGGGAAGAAATCGTTTGTGAACAAATGTCTAAGAGAAAAGCACACGTAGCTATATTACAGGCGAGGAAAATCGTGAAAATTCCCATGCAGGAAGCTCATTCTCGTGATTTGAGTGTCCGGATCAAATTACGAGTCTTCACAGACTTTATGGTTTGTCTGACGGTCGGTTATTTGATTATGACAAAGTATTATTACTTAAGTGAAGGACTGCCCCTGTGGAAGATTTTCTAAGAGAAACTAGCTCTTATTCATGTTACACTTTGGAAAAACCCAAACAGACCGTCATTCACAAAACTTCGAACCGACCAGCGTACTGTCTTGATAGGTGTGATATTTAGCGGTATCGGCCGCTCCATCATTGGAACCAGATTCTAATTATGGAGAAGATACGATGTCTAAAAGCTTACAATGTTATTCTGGTACAGGAGCACCTAAAATATCTTCTAAACAAAACTCTGGAGAGGTTAGTGGTTAGGAAAGAGAGATAGGATATCTTTGAATCTATCTTCTGTTGATGTTTTCCATTAAAACTAGGCAGACCTACGATTAGGATTTTTCATCACATTTGGGAATTCTACTGCTTTGTATAAGTATGCAAATCTGGACTTTAGGACTTTAGGACAGGAGCACCTAAAATATCTTCTAAACAAAACTCTTCTGGAGATGTTAGTGGTTAGGAAAGAGAGATAGGATATCTTTGAATCTATCTTCTGTTGATGTTTTCCATTAAAACTAGGCAGACCTATGATTAGGATTTTTCATCACATTTGGGAATTCTACTGCTTTGTTTAAGTATGCAAATCTTTAGTTAATACCAGGTGTTTCCTTCTTCTTCACCATGATACATTCATGAACTTTTTTTTGAGTTTTAGAGGGATTACTAGGATAAGTAACAAAAACCAGCGTTCAGCGATTATTATCTAATCGGTCATTTATAGGCTTCAATGAAATTGACTCAAATCATTCATGTTTGAAAAAAAAATGAAACAACAGGGTTAATGTCATAGTATCTTTAAATGAAAGCAACTTTCATATCAACATACCACAAGTATGGTTAAGAACTGTTTACGTTTACGAATCTAGAGATATAAATAAGCAAGGAGAAGTATTTTGAACAGAAATAAATAGCAATTATTTCAGTTCTTCTCAATTATGATAATAATGCATAAATTATTTGCATGCATTAAAAATCAGGAATGAATTGCATCAGTACCTGGTACTTTCTAAGTTTTCCAGCAAATTCCGAGTCAAGAGTGTAGTGGTCGGCTAATAAGGCATCGATAATATTTGTATTTGTTAGCGGTTTTTTGAAGTCTTCCTCGAAAGATAAGGATGGGCAGCCTAGGAGGAGAAAAAAAATTAAACACGTTTTTTAAAGTAGTATTAGTATAAATTTATTTGGAATAGATAAAGCTTTCCCGAAAAAATAACTTTTTGAAATACTGGTAAACAAGATAAATGCGTAAAATTAAATTATTACCGCAGCAAGAATCTGCTTAATTTACGAATGTAGTCAATATCTGCTTTATGCAAATGACACTTTTTTAAAAAATTTTAGTATGGAAGTATTGGATTAATCAGCAATAACGCTCAAATAATTGATCGAATTTTCTAAGTACTTATGCTGCTTTAAAAGATAAAAATGTTCCTTTCTTTTAATTTAATATTAAGCAAGATGAAATTTCACAAAAGACATAAGAAATGGCATCACTCATTTTGGAAGCAGAGATTACAAATTTCATATAAACAGATATATTTTTTCGATCTTTTATTGCAGCAAGACAAATATTCAAACTAAAAATCAGTAGAATAAGTCATACAATTGAATACAGAATGTTAGTTATCTGAAACATACTCTGGTAGAGCACATGAAGTCTACTTACTTAAGTGAAACATGATTTCAAGTATGGCATTCTAAGGGAAATTGGATCATATTCTTGTTACACATACGAAAAAAATTACGATAACCCTATACAGAAAGTCTGTTTCGATTAGAAAACAGGTCAAATTACAAGCGTCTAATAAGGCTTCTACAGAAACGAGGGTTTTAATTTTAAGTTATTCGATCGGAATTTTCCTTACTAAAACCTAAATTTCATTTGATCGCCAGTTACCATCAATGCAGTAAGGATGTTTGTGAAGGTAGTATCTGTTTGAATCTAGCATTGTGCATGGTTCGGCACGTTTCTAATTTGCTACCCTTAGGTTGCGGATCTGCCAGTGCGTGTTAGTGGCACTCGACTCAAAATGCTCTTAAAACCACAGTCGTATTAATTCCTTATGTTAATTGTATTAAAAACTTCAGAATGTATATTAACAAACAAAAATGATTCAAAATAGTCTGCTAATACTAATAAGTATAAATCATTATCTATGCTTGACAAGTTGGAGCTTCCATATAAATTTGATAAATGCGCGTCTGTTGTAATGTATTTTGTAGTAATTTACAAAACAGACAATCTTCTTAGTAGAACATAAAATTTATTTCTAGTTCACGGTGATAGACAAATTTTATACAATTCTTAAGTGGAAAAATGTTCATCCTACTCCTAGCTGTAAAATCTTCAGAATACTCAATCTTTTTAAAAACAATATCTCTCGTTGCTGAGTAAAGGTTTGATATAAATATGGCGTTGCCACTTCAACAATAATTATATTTATTTATTAAATAACAAGATATTACAACCTCTCCCCGCTCCAGATAAACTTTAATTTATATTTTTATAAATTAAAGTTTACAGTTTTTAAAACAATAATATCAGCACAACACAGAATTAAAATACAAGCATTTAAAGGAGAATTAAACAAGAAATGACATAATAACATACAGTGAAGAAGAGAGTAAGGAACAAAATACTTTTTTTTATCTATATAGAGAAACAAATTATTTAATCAGGCCAGGGAGTACGACTTAACGTGTCTACATTTTTATGGTTTTTACCACTTCGATGAACGATCGTGTAATTGTATCTATATAGATCGTGTAATTTTATCTATATAGAGAAACAAATTATTTAATCAGGCCAGGGAGTACGACTTAACGTGTCTACATTTTTATGGTTTTTACCACTTCGATGAACGATCGTGTATTTGTATCTATATAGATCGTGTAATTTTATCTATATAGAGAAACAAATTATTTAATCAGGCCAGGGAGTACGACTTAACGTGTCTACATTTTTATGGTTTTTACCACTTCGATGAACGATCGTGTAATTTGTAAGGGTTGTAGTACTAGTGCCCATCTCATAAGTCGTGGATTTAGACTCACATTATTTTTTGAGCCAAACTAAAGGGATTATGATCGGTCATGATGAGGAATTTAGTATACTCCGTCTAAATAACATTGAAGTTTCTTTACAGCAAATATTATGGCGGCATCGCATTCCTTTTCTGTGGCTAGAGTTACTTTTTTTCAGTTTCTGTAAACTTCTTACTGAAGGTATAATACTGGATGTTCATTGTCTCGTTCACCTTTTTGAGCTACAATGACACCCATACCAGAGTCTGAAACATCAGTTTGCAAAATAAACTCCTTATTGAAATCAGGTGAGCGTGACAGAGGCTTTTGTGGCAGTTTTTCTTCTTCAACAACTTGCTCTTGTCTGTTTAGTTTCTTTAAAAACTTCTCCTTGACTTGCATCTCAACTCCAGAACTTGACAATTCATCTGGATCGTTTAACTGAGATTTTAACTGAGAATCGTTTAATTTTGTCAGTTCTTTCTTTTCAGATAGTTTTTGCTTGTTGCGAGATGAACTTTTGTTCTTATCTGTTACTTGCATTCTCATTGAATGTGGCAACTTTGAGTATCCTCTATCATGTTTATGCCTCTTTGCTAAGTTTTCTGACGCGTGCATAGATCCTGATCGTATTTTTAATTTCTTAGCCTTAGAAGGACCTTCATGAGTTCTTTTATAAGAATTTCTTTGATCTGCTGCTAACGAACTGTCAAACACATCTTTCCTTTTTGGAGAAGAAGGAACTGGGGAACTTGTAGAGGAATAATCATACACAGGATCCATAGAAGATGAATCACCAGGTAAATAAGGTGAGTCAACTTCCATATAAATAAACTTCCGTTTTCTCATCAAGAGATGAACGCTTAGATTGTTTGTCAGATTTCTGTGAAGCATTGACAGTAGCTTGACTTTTAGGAGGGTGAGTATTGACCAAATTACCCTGAGTCTTAGCACTATTATTTGTTTGGTTCTGAATCAAAGTTGTGTAGTTTTGCATTTGATCTCTATATTTTTCAAGAATAACAATTAATTCCCTTTCATTTCCATTTTTATCTAATTTCTTTTTCTCCTTTATTTTGAAATAATTTCCGAAATTTTCACTTTTAGCTTCGCTAAGCATTGAGATTAGATCTCTGCTTTGATGCTGAGATTCAATTAATTCCTTTGAATTAGCATTAATTATTTTCTTAATTTCCTTGTCTTTCTCATCAGCTTGCGGTAAAATATCTTCGTCAGACTCAATAACAGACAGTTCTTCTTTTTTCCCCATTTCGGTGTCTCTACTTCGATCTCCTTCTCGAGATCGTTTTACTTGAGATCGTGTCAAAACTGCATTTATCCTTTCTAAATTTAAGAACTGTTTATCTTTGAACAACTGAGCAGTTTTGTTACCCAATACATATCTGCCAGGATCATTTGTAACAACAGCTGCCTTTGTCTTTATATGACCAAGTTCGCAATTAATTTCAACTTCCGCTAACGGTAGACACACTAAATGGTCATTTAAAAGATATTGTACCCAGACATGTTCTCCAGTCATTTTTGCGTTATCTATGTATTTCCGAGAAATAACATCAACAGTGGCTCCTGTGTCTCGAAGAATAGGCATTTCATACCCATTAACTAAACCGTTAATTGTATACGTCTTTAATAAATCATCATTCGAAAATACGCAATTTATCTTTTCATTTGGTTTTAAGCGAGGACACTGAGGCTTAAAACGTTTTCTCGGACGCAAGTTATAGAAGCACAGAAGATAACCTTAATGATCCGCTTCAAATCTGGCTTTAAAACAGCAGACTTCTTACATCCATTTCTCCTTGAAATAAACAAACTCGGCAATTGGTATTAGCAACTTGTTCTAAAAAAATTCAGCAAATTTCTGGGATTAGGAGACCAGCACCATCAAAATTGATAATTGCACTCCTAATTTCCAGTATCTCGGTGGAACCTCCAATTTATTAAGACTGTAATGTATTTTGTAGTAATTTACAAAACAGACAATCTTCTTAGTAGAACATAAAATTTATTTCTAGTTCACGGTGATAGACAAATTTTATACAATTCTTAAGTGGCAAAATGTTCATCCTACTCCTAGCTGTAAAATCTTCAGAATACTCAATCTTTTTAAAAACAATATCTCTCTTTGCTGAGTAACGGTTTGATATAAATATGGCGTTGCCACTTCAACAATAATTATATTTATTTATTAAATAACAAGATATTACACTGTAAACACATTATGTCGGTATTAGAGTACCGATTCATCAAACATATATGGCTTACAGAAAAACAAATTGGAGAATTTTAAAATATTCCTCTGCAAATTAAAGCCAAAAATATTTATGGAATGTATTTAGAAGCTTTATGTAAAGCGTAAATAGTGTCAAGCAACATGTATCAGAATAAGCCTCAGGCTTAGGTGTCAGATATATGCTGACTGATATATATTTCTAGTGTTGGTTTCGTCTTTTCGTCTATTTCTGTGGTTCGAATATTGGCAGGTCTTGTGGCTGCTGGATTTAATATAATCTGTATTTACTAAATTTATAGGTACTTATGTATTTATGTATTTTTCCTTTGACTATTCTTGATAAACGAAACCCTGTCACCAAAGAGTGCAATTTAGCTCCAAAAGCGGGATATAGCAACACATTCATAAGATGTTTACTTTGGTTTTATGTAACCGCAATCCTCGCGATCCCTCAGTTTAGTTTTTGCAAGGAGGGATACATTAAAACTTTAGATTGCTAGTATTTTGAAAGACGAACGAAACTTCGCATTACATTTTAACTTGGTTCTTGAGAAATGCCTTGCAATATAAGTAGTATGCATACTCTTTGCTTATTCAGCGTCAATAAACTTGTCAGTTTTTTCAAAACTGTGTCTTTGCAGGACGTCTATGGGAATGAAGTTGAATGAGGAAGCCATTCAACAGCTGATGATGGAATACGACCAGGGCCTAACCAAAAATGAATTAATGAATCTGCATAGGAAGCAACAGCAACAGGGTTCACTTGAGAAATGAGAGAAAGATGGGGGAATCTTTCACATCAAACGAGATCAGGGAGATGTGTAAAATGTAGAAAATAATGCAAACTTTTTAAGAACAGTACATGTATAAGTGTTTATTAATGTTAGCATTAAATCTGTGTAAGAAGAATGGAAGAACAATCTGTTCCGTCAAACCTTCGCCGGAATGGTTGACTTAAATGTAGCGTTCTCTCCACCAACTTTTGCGGCAGATGGCAAAATGTTCAAACAGCAATTTATGTTAAATGCACCTGTCTTTATGACAGCAAAGTTAAATAAAACGCTTCTGTTTTACCTTTGTTGGCTTTGTTGGCAAATATGTCTCTTCTGTTCTGCACTCCGTTGATGAAAGGCGTATTTTGTTCAGAAGGACTTTCTTCCAGGACAGAATCAATAATAGCATTGCATTCCTCCGAATTCAGATCCTCTAAAGGATCGTCGTCTTCTTCGTTGCCTTCTCCTTCCTCTTCCTGCAGAATATCTTCTTCGTTACCAACTTTATTGGGAGAATCTAATATTGAAGAAATAAATAAATTAGGCTGTGAAAAGCTATCCAATACTTGAACATAAATTACATTTACAGAGCTATTAACCATTTTGATAATACAATTCAACGCTACAAGGGAAATCTCAGGTCATAGGAACAAATTTTACAATTATTCTATTTGAAAAATTTTAATTTTGATTGCAATCTCAATAACATTAAGTAATTTTTTTCATTGTTGCACATCACTGGTATTATCACATTTTATTTCTTACACAATTGTTTTTGAACGTACACGTTTCATCTCGGCCGCATCCTATTTGAATCAAAACATAATAGGAATTGTTTCGAATTCATATTGAAGATGGTCGTATCTACCAATTATGGAATATTTCAAAGCCAGAATAATGGTCTATATAATATATTTTATCGTTAAGCAAAAGGACAAATATACGATTCTCTAGGAATTCTTAGAAATATCCTTTAACATAAAGAATAGAACAAAGCTTATTTTTTTATAAATTAAAAAAATGACTTCTTATACTATTATTAGTATTATGAAGACTCGAATCCGATCAAATCAATCTGAGACTCGAGACACAATGTTCCTTCAGGGTTTTCACACTCCTATCTGCCTATGAGGTAAAAACATAGAAATAGGAGGATTGGAATCACGTATCTAAACGGCGCAATTCTAGGCTTTTTCTGCGAATATCAGGACCTATCAGGCGGTATGAACCTTGATGGGTTTCTGAGCGCAATGTTATAAAGTAAGCGCCCTGATTATAGACCGCGAGAGCGGAGGGAGTGTTCAAAATATTACGTAGATGGTGACTTTCCTCTTCTTTTGAAGGATAGACCGGAATAAAACTGCAGATCTATATGAATTAGACACAAACGGACATTTTTTTTATATATGTAGAGGTTAATAAACACAGGTAATGTAATTTCACATGTGCAGCTAGTAATTGATAATAACTAAAATGAATCTGCGTTTATTGCTTTTAAATCGCGTAGTTTGTTAATTAATAACATAAAAATTTGAAAGAAAAATTAAATATCATACGCTTTGAAAGTGACAACACGCTGTCGCTGAGAATGCAAAAACATTTTAATTCGGGCAATAGCAATAATTTTTTTTTAATTACTGAGCTTGTTTATTAAATTCGAAAGACAAATATATACGGAGTTTTGCTTAGTGGCAACATACTTCTTCTACATCGTTGAGTTTTCTGATTAAATCTCAAACATAAATATCATAAACTTTGAAAAGAGTCAACACAAAGCTTTCAAATTGCTGAGTTTTTATTCAAAGGTACCTTAAATTCGCACAAAATTATTATAAATAAAAGGTGTGAACTCTGTTAAGTAATTTTCTGAAATCTTCTGTAGACAGTGATTTTCCTCGTTTTGAATGTCAAGTGTATAAGTTTTCATCAAAATCGGAATAAAAGTGTAAATTTGTATGAATTACACACAAACAAAAGAACACTCTTCTTTATATACATTATTAGTTATTATATCCTTCCTTTCCGCATGCATTCGCAGTGTAATTGGAAGCGTGCTCCAGGTGTATTCGAGAGTTCCAGCGTTCGAGTCCCGGCAAGGCGATTGCACATTTTTTAGGTCTCCGGTTTTAAAATAACATAATGACTCTACAAGTGGCGCCCGAACTAAAAGATGGTAGACGATTACTCGTCACCGCCAGAATTTGGAATTTGGCAAATGGGTCCTTAAATCCCTTGTCGCTTTTAAAAGGAGGAGTATATAATGTATTTTATCCCTCCTTTGCGCATGCTTTCGTAGTGTAATCGGAAGCATGCTCGACGCGTATTCGAGAGGTACAGTGTTTAAGTCCCGGCGAGGCCATTGAACATTTTTTGCATCTCCACTTTCAAACAAACTTAATGACTCTACAACATACATAGATGTACGGATATCTAACGACAGGAAATTAATTATTATTATTAATACTTGCGACAAAGACAATATTTCTGTTTCTACATTATTATTCAATTCAAAACGAAACAAATCAAAACGTATTGCAGTGATTTCAGCTGAAAAATTTCGTGCCTTACCTTCTTGGATTATATCTTCTTCATTCATTGGAGCAGTGGGGCTGGTGACCCCTTTGGCAGTTTCTTCCTTTTCACCGCTGTCTTTGGAAGACTCCGTATTGCTGAGAGATTTGTTGTTGTATTCGAGTACCGGTTCTCGCCCCGTCTCTTCATCTTCCGATAGCTGGTAATCTAAAATACCATCATCTGGTGGCCTACAGCCACCAATGAGATTGAAATATGGATGCTCTCCATTTTCTTCGGGAGATGACAAACTATAGAGGAAAGCTCTAATAATTGAATGTATAAGTATTAGAATACTCGACCTCTTTTAATTGCATGAGTACAAGAAAAATAGTTATCCATCATGTCAAAAACCCAAAAATTCTAGACAATGATATCCTTATTAGAAAATTATTATTCAAGCTTGATTATCTGGGTATGCTTAATATTAGATCTCTGCTTTGCTCTGATATGATGTTTACAGTGTGGTATAAATCTTAAACAAGGATTTTATTAATTTCTATTCATATTTGCCAAAAAATAAATAAGCTCCGTTACAAATTTTGGTAATAACAATAATCACCTCGTTTGGGGTTACGCTTACATAAGAAAAGCGTTTTTTCTCAAATCGAAATTAATAAAAAAAGAACCCGATTGACCGATGAGCATCTACAATCCGTATTGAAGATTTTAGGAGTTTCACTTCAAGACTAAATACCATCAAGTATCAAGATATAGTAAGAAATAAAGGAGTTAACATTTATTTACATACAAATAAATGCATTTTTATCTATGAATCGAAAAAAAGTTAAGTAAATAAGAGAAGGAGACTTTTGGTTGTTATTTATTATACAGTATTGTTCTACTTGGTAAATTTTTCGTAATTGTTTTATTTTTAGTTTAAATTAAAATAAATTATTTAATTAATACTAAACACGTTAAAATTGTTTGAAAGAAATACCAGCCTAAGAAAATTAATATTTAGATAGCAATATAGTATTCGGTAACCAGTAAAAATGTCTCTATATTTGGTAACCAGTAAACGTGTAACCAGTAAAAATGTCTTACTGGAACCAAACTTTAGATCTCAGATTATAAAATTCAATATAAATTTGAACATTCTTCCTTTGCGATATCATTAGTATTATAACTTTTGTATGCTTTTATAAATATTTGGTATACGAATTCAAAAGATTTTTATTTTGTTAATAAAATTTTTGATTTTAATATAAATAAATAAATAAGTAAATAAATTCTGGCCCATCAGATCATGCCTTTGGCCAGCATAAAATTTGAAATTGACCACTGTCATATGAGATGATGCAGTTTATTTGGCTGTTCAACTCGTTATCCCATTTTGAGCAGCAGCCCTTAAGCAAAGAACTTTGAATTTCTTTAAGCGAAAGAAAATTCCTTTCATGCCACAACCGCCTTCCAAATTCCTTACACTTTGCCTTATTCTCTCTAAGCTCTATGGGTTTAATGTTTTCAGAGAGCTTAAGCTAATAACGCAACGGCCAGTCCAAGGCAGATACCAAAAGAGATATTCTACGCATGTTTAGAAGAACGTTAAAGGTACTGACGCAATTAAATTGGAAGGGTGAAAAGTTTTGATCCTCACAGGGTAGAAATCGTGTTAGATAGTTCAAATTTTGCAGGATCATAGGTTGTAGTTTTGTGACATAGTGTGCGAAATATCAAAAAATCGACATTCTTCCTTCACTGCTTTGTTCAAGTGAAAAAAGAGTAAAGTGTCGGAGAAGAGAGTGGATGGCAGGGCCACGATTCAATGTCTCTGCCGGAGAGACGCACAGCATCATTCACTCAGAAATTCTCCAAAGCTCACTGTAGATGCTACCGTGTGTCGTTAACTTGATACGTGGACGTGAAAGCATTTGGATGAACCACGTGACGTCCGATCACGGCAACAACGCAGAGATACATCAGCCTTGTACTAGATATGATTAAGAAGACTCGTCAAATGACTGTGAAAAGAATGTTTGAATGTTTTGAGATCTCTACCAACACGCGGAACGCATTCATCAAGAAGTGACCATGAAAAAAATATCGGCTCGACAGGTCCCTGAAGCTTTACCCTTGAATAAAAAGGAAGGTGAAAAGAATAATCAATTTTAGCTGATTTTGCGGCTCTATTATAAACGCTATCAACAAGGAATATCATACGAATCTGATACATACACTGCGAGGTGGCAAGAAGTAGAAGATCTGAAAAAAGAATCATCCTGCATCAAGACAATGAACCTTATCAACATGCCGCGATTACACATGTCGCTTCGCACTGCAGCTTTGTACCATTTACCTTATTCCACTTACCTGGTTCCGTCGTATTTTCATGCGTTCAGTCATCCTTCATTTTCATAAAGGTTCATTTTCATGCTTTACAGTCATCTTCTAGGAAGAACTAAGTTCGAGGACATCAATTCACCATGAACAATAATGTCATTGAATGGTTCGTTTATTAGTGTGAGGCTCAAAATAAATAATTCTATAAGATGACTGTAAAGCAATTGCTGCACAGAATGTTTAAGTGCAGAATGTCTAATGCATTCTTATAGAGGGGTGATTAACAAAGAGATCATACCAAGGTACTGCATCTCAAATTACCACTTCACTATAAGGCTCAAACCTTTACACCCTTCCCTCGTACGTATGTCTCGAACGAGTTCTGAGTGTGTAATAAATATAGAAAACCGTGTAATAAATATAGAAAACCGTGTAAGTGATATAATAAATATAATATGCAATCAGTCACGGATTTATAAAGTGGCAGGAGCACTTTACCTGGAAGTTCCTCATCTTAAAATACAGCGTACTTTTCCTATTTTTAAGCTATTTGTTGTGAACACCACGACTTGTTTGTACTTCCCATTAAATTACACACGTTTCTTGCTACACTTTATTTAAATTTATTTTTCTCGGATTTCATTAGAGATATATTTCTAACTCAATTAATTCAGTTTCCATTCCGCGGCAAGGCCAAACTACATAAAAACTCTATCTTCATTAAAAATTGTAAAATACGGAAAAACCATTAAGATTAAATACTGTTAAAAAACAGTTTTAACAATCAAAATTAGAGTTTCTAAGCAGAAACAAGCAATTTGTCCAGAAAGCAGGAAGACAAAATTTTCGGTGCACATAACTGAAAGTTAACTTTCTTTCACACTGGGCAAACAGACACTGAAATTGGAACTCCAACTGACTTAATTCACTATGCTACTAAGAGTGTCAAATATAAACAAATGGCTGCCTCGTTAGGTGTAGCGGCACTTAAAATTTTAAATGTTGATAACTCTACAACTATTGCATGAAGATTAACAAAAGGCATAAAAACCTTAACCGCTTCATAATAACAAGACAATTCAATTATTTTTTAAGCAAAAAATTCACAATTTACCAACAGGAACAGTAATATCGAGAATGAAGAAACTGGTCTCACCGAGCCGGATAAGAGAATGACAGTATATTTTTATATATATTTGGCTCGGATGATTGCAACGAAAATCGAAGGTGCATAGCTAGATGTTATAGCAGTCTCATATACCAAATTTCAACTTTCTACGTCTACTCGTTTTTGAGTTATGCGAGATAAATATGCACGATAGAACACCAGTTTTATAGAAGAAACACCAATTTACATAAGCATGAAGTTTTTATTTCCTTGTTTGCTATTGTTGCTCACATATCTAGCATAAATCTAAAATAGCAGGGTCGAGATGGTTAAAAACTTTGTTTTTAAGCTAAAACCATTCGATTTGTTATCACACGATAAAGGTCTAATTATTAATTGTTTTTAAATTTTAAATACTTCCATTTTAGGTAAGCAGAAAGAGTAAACTGCGGATTTTTTCTCATATTAAGCTTAAATTAAAATGCATTAATATCGTGTGAAGAAATAGGTAATATATTTTGTGGAAAGAAGTTTAGAATGATATATAACACTTATTTAAATCCGGTACACCAAAACGGAAATATTTAATTTAAAACTAATCGAATTTTATTAAAAAATATTGTTTACTTGTGTATTAAATTGCTTGAAAATCGAGGGATTCAAAAGGTAAGAAACAAACAAAGAACTCATGCGTTTTTCCTACGAAATATTAGTTACAAACAATATAATACACATTCTAAGTCTGCAGAATAGTAAAAATTCTGTTTAAAATATTTGATAGCTTTAGAAAATACTTCTGATCGAAGAAAAAAAAAGACTAGAATTTTAAAGAGGATCTTGAAATAAAAGTGCAGCAAACCACAATTACACGCAGCTGCAGCCTGAGTGGTAAAATCCACTCACTGCTCCGTGGTTTCTACTACTTGATTGATGTAGTATTTAATAAGGCAGAATTAAAGTGTATCAACCTATGAGAAAAAGAGAAACTACAGAGATCCTGTATCATAAAATCTGTAAGATATATAATTAAAAGCTAGTGTGGTTATAAGGTTATAAAACCGAAATGAATATTTTGGTGTGGACATATTTCATACATCTATTCTGAAGAGGCATAATTAAAAGCTCTTTGAATTAATAAATTTCTTTCTTGAAAATGAAATACAGAATAAGTACAGTTCCAGTTACACAAAATTTCTGCAAACCTACTGGGTGTCACGAGAAAAAAATTAAACGTATCTGAGCTTTTCATTTTTGATTAATTTTGCAATATTAATTATAGCCAGTTATCTTAAATTTCACTTCGTTCGCTTCACATCTGTTTTCTTCTGATTTATGGGTCATCCAAAAGAAGATATAAATAAGTTGACGGGAAGGAAAAAATTAAGGATTAATACAAATAAGAGAGCATATAAATACTGACTCAGTTTCAGTAAAGCAGTGCTATGTCTTTCATCTACGTGGACCTAACTGATTTCTGAATATGACAAACTGGAATTCTAGACTTATTACAAAAATTCGTAGCTGGGCATATATACGTTCCGAATGCATACGATAACTTAAGTTGTATTTGGAAGGACTAGCAACTTTATGTTCAGTTATTTATAACATACCATCAAAACTTACTGTGTCTTTTCGCTGAGCTGGAGAGACCGGATCTGACCGAATTCTTCACTTGACAAGTAAAATTCTGAACTTACTGTGATAAATAACAACTAGACGTACATGAGATTGAGTCAATTTGCATTACTCAAACGATATTACTAGAATTTAAAATATTATTATGTAATTCAAGTTGTATCTGCGTATGTTAAAAATCTTATATTCAGTTTTCTGTAATCTACCAGAAGTAACTGCTATACTTTATTATCCTGCAAAGCAAAGCTGTGTACAAATAAATTTCAATTTGCTGACTATTCATTCGCTTATTCAATTATTTTACTCAGAAGATAATAACTCGCCACTTTATGATTTAGCCTTCATAATAGAGTTACTAAACATCGGTAGTATTACTTAAAAATATATAATTTAAAATTAAATGCATTGTTTAGAAACAACAAATAATATACACTAATTCATACTGCATTGAAAGTTTTATATCAAAAACAAAAGTTAACAAATTAAAAGTTTTTATGCATGTTAATTTATCCTCTTCTTAATTATTCCATCGCATTTTACATAAATTTACAAAACGCGCTTCGCTCTTGTATAAGAATGCATCATTCTTCGTTTTCTAAGAAAACAGTCTCATTAGAATTACCAATATGAATAATTTTAAGTTGATAGAACTCTGTAGAAATTCCTATAGAACTTTATATATAACTTCTATAGAAATGCTTCTCTATATAGTTCTGAAGAAATTTTATGAAGCTTTCAAAACAAAATTTCCTTGAAATGGTCTTTGCAAAATTATACAGAAATACTATAAAATTTTACAGAATGGTGTCCTACAGAAATCTGAAAGTTTTCTGAGCTTAATCAAAGGAAATATTGGATCCTGATGTACTATATCGGATATAGCAAAGGAAAAATAAACACGTCAAAAAATAATAAAGTATAAATATAACAAAAATCTATATAAAATAATTAACTAAATGGAAATTTTTGCTTTCTTTCCTCCCCCTTAACATTTAGCTTTTAAAGTTATATAACATTTTGTGCAAAGTTTTATAAAATATTGCTTATAGAATACAAAAATTAATTCATGCGAAAGCATAAGGTCAATTTAAATCACATAGTTAAAAGATTAAATTTAAATTCTCGAGAAATGGTTTCTTAATTTTAATTAAATATAAATATTATTTAAAAAATATGTATTTTGTTTAAATGTCTTTTGAAATAAAACAATACTAAAATTTTTATTAAGAAAACAAAATTCACACTATTACGAATATTTTCATCTTCTCACTCTCCATACCATAGACCACTTCTAAATTTAGTTAAAAAAATTTCCTTCAAAAATGAAAAATGAATACATTCTTTTTAATAACATTTTTAATTAATTTCTTTTTACATTTTGATGATTTTTATGATGCTATTAAAACTCTTGAAATCTTCTATAAAATGTTTTGTAGGAAATTTGTCTAGAATGCTTTAGAATTATATCCCCATTCTCTATAAACTGCATATAATACTTTCAATAGAATTTTATCAGTTGAACTACGTAGGATTCTATTTGTGGGACTTGTAGAAAATGTACGAAATTTTATAAAATTTCTGCACGACTCTCTACAGAATACCTCCACATATCTTTATAAAATCTGTATATATATGTCAACTGCAGCCATACCTAAGACGTTTTATAGAACTGTAAAGAATTCTAAAAAGGTTTAATACCGAATTTTCTTACAGAATTCCATACGACATTTCGCAAGACGTTTTCCCTAGTTTATCTAATTTACAATTATTATTTGAAAAGCAGAGCAACATTTTACCTATCTGGGGAGTCCCAGAAGGCTCGATCTTCGTCTCCGCGTTCCATATCGCCCGTTATACCATTAGGTGGAGACGGTGGAGCGCAGTGTCTCGGCTCTTCCAAGATTCCATTCATATAAGCCGTCTTGGGCAATTGCAGAGTCCACTTAGTGCTTTCCGCTAGTTTCTGAGATGGAAATTGGATTTTCAGCAACCGGCAGCGGGAAGAAAAAAAGCCAAGGAATCTGTTGGGATCATTGAAGAGTGCATCCATGTCGAGCGGCTTGGGCTGTGTTTCGTCCATCAAAGACAACAGACGCTCACAAAACAGGAATACGGGCTGGAGAGAAATCAGTAAGATGGGTAATGCATTTATTAATTATAATTATCTGACATTATTCATTTAAATATCACTGTAAATCTCGTAGTCGCTGTGGCTTCATTTACTAAGATAAAATACAGAGCAACCTAAGTTCATGAACTTAATTCGTTTCTGAAGGCCATCCCTCATCGGAAATATTTATGAACTGAAACTAGTTTCCTCATTCGAGTTAATGCAAAATGGATTAATCCGTTACTGGACAGTTGATGATTACGTATTTAAACTTTACAACAATACGTGGTGTCAAAACGAAAAATAACGGAAGCTGTTCAATTCAAAACAGAAATAAAGATAAAAATAATATTAAACAGATAAAATAGGAAAATATTTTATCGTATCTGTATGAAAAAGAGCGAAATGCACAAATGAAAAGGGCCAAGGAAGAGAGAAAAGAGATATGTTATTGTTTGGATGAGAAGTTCCTTTCCTTAAAAAAAACATCAAGTAACTGTCATTTTAGATCACGTATTCTGTGTTGTCTTCACTTTAAAATATTTAGAAAGTGGTACATGGGTCTGTCATTTAAAATATTTTTCTGCAGTTTGCTAGCTGATTTATCTAGGTGAATTCATTTAATGTAACTTGTACTGTATTTCAATGTGCACAGGTTTTGTGGATCGAAGAACTCGGTTAGCTTTCTTTTCGTTCCTTTTCCTCCAATGAAATTCCCTCGACATGTCTTAAGTACTTTGTTGTTGTTTCTGACGGTGTTTTGGTCCTATACTGTTGAACTGATTTTTTATTTTGGTTTTCTAGTATCTCCTCCACGTCTTCATTGTTAATTTCCAAGCGAATTGTTTTGCCTAGAAACACAATATCATGGATAATCTAAAACTTCTCTGTATAAAAGACCTCAAGATCTCTGTCTGTAACACAATCGGGTCATAATTTCCCCCAGGGAGAATTCTTAGACTTGTAAATGCCATGTTCTGTTAATGAAACTTAAGCACGCGAGCAAAATTAAGAAAATCTGCATATTATGTCGACTTTCTAAAGCAATGAACAATACTGAAATTTGGTATGAATATGCATTTATAACAGAGAAACAGACGTTCCATTCAGACGTTCCATTCTCAAGTCATTTTATGTATCCATGATTATTAGTAAAGCTTATATTGCAAGGATTTCCGAAATTCACATCGTGATATCGAATTGGAAAAAATCGTAATATAGAGTATGCTCCCCTCTCACAGTCAGAGAGGTCGCGCAGAGTGATGGCATATAGGATAGAAAAGAATTGAGGAGTCCATGTAGCAGTAGATTCCACTTCTGCAGCAAGGTAGTTTTCAATTCTGGAATGGTTCTCGGAGAGGGACAGCGAGATGAAATTGCCGTTCCAAAATCGTCTCTAACATGATATATAGGGTTAAGGTTAAAAGATCCGTCTTGTCAATACATGCGGAAAATATCCTCACTTTCCAGTTAATACGCCACCAGCTGTGCTCTATGTGAATTGGCGTTATCGTCCATTAATAGGAATCTTGGACCCTTGAAAAGCGGAAAAACAGGACTCAAACACCTCCTTTTTACACCTCATAGCAATCAAGGAGCTTTTCTCAAACACATGAAGGGTTGTGCAGCCGTCCATATAATCAAACTATTACACCTCTATCACCGTAATGATCCTTTTACCTGATGAGGGAGGAATGGTATCGTGTTCCAGGCACTCTCCAGATACAGATACACACAGAATCAGTGCCCAAACTGAATTTTGACTCATCTGGTAAAATGCACGGAGTTCCACTGAAGTCTGGTCTAGCACGGATGTTGTCTGCACGTGCAAAACTTGTTCTCTTGTGTGCTTCAGGGAGCGAGACGCAAACAGTAGGTCTGTTGGCATACGCCCTAATTAATAAAGCCTACGAGCAACTCTATACCGTGACATTCGGGTTCCAGTAGCGGAATACAGCTTATCTGAGAGCTGTGAAGCTATAGCAGTCGTGCGACGCCGCTCTGAAAGTTCCAAATAATTATCCTCATTTGAAGTAGTGGATCTTGTTCGACCTTGCCCAGGTCTTCTCGATATGGATCCAGTGTCCTGAAAATGTTTTCATAAATTTCAGACGACAATGGGCATTGCATTCAGCTTGTAGCCGCATGCGCTTGTGATTGGCCTGCCTTCAGCCTACCAACAATTCACCGTTTCATTCCGCAATTCATACGTTCGTGTCTACTCATTTTACCTGACACCTAAAACATTTACCCAACTTTTGTGAGAAATGGGGCCAATGCCGTGAAGGAATATGAACTTATAAATTACCAAACGCCCTACTGCGCTTATATCCCATCCACAGTTATGGCTCTGCAGGCACCCAAGTCTAAGCTTACGTATTTGACTCTGAATATCTGCTTAATTCTTCTGCAGCATAATTAATGCCTTTGCTTCAATATTTTTCATGAAAGTAAACATAAGCTGCAAATTCTCTTAATTTTGCACACGAGTGTTTTAAGGTAATATGTTTTAAGGTGATATATGAAGTTCTTAGGGGTTACTTCTGTAGAGGTTACACTAAAACACATCTGAAAATCATTTGTTGTCGACTTGAGTGTTCATAACTCGAGACACAATTTGTCATCTCAGACGTATTTTGTTCAGATAATTTATTCGTAATACGAGGCGTTCGTGAACCGAGGTTTTACTGTATAAATAGATTCAGTTTTGAATTATATTATACATCAATTTGTGGATTCAGTTTGCTAACATAACATAAAGCAGTGCACGACATCAAGAGGTACAAAACTCAAATCATAAAATGATATCGAACAGAAGCGAATTTTAATGTCAAAAGGCAAAAGACTACTTTTCTTCGCTCAAAAGAAGGCTCAAAATCATTTTTGAATTATTACTGCTACTCGAGTGGCGGTAATAAAATTTCTTTCCCTGTTTTTTCATTACTGGACCGTGGATCATGGTTTGACAGTTCATTATAATCCAAGAAATAGATAAATTCCATTCGCAGTAAAACCTTGCTATGAATAAATCGCTTTTGGTTGCTGGATTTTGAGAAAAAATAGTACAATTCGATTAAGACAGTCCCAAAAGACAGAACTTTTTCAGGATCCCCCCCAATGACCAGTTTCCTTGCTTTATTAGTGAAAACTGGATTTTGTGAAAAAATACTACAATTTTGAAGCTCCCTAAAATCTGGTACCTTACGTATGAGCGTTGGTTTCTTGCTTTATCGACAATTTACATACACTTTTTTCTGTTTTAGCAATGTAATCAGCTTTTATCTGACTAAAAAAACTTGAACGTATGAGGTAGAATGATAATTTTTACTTTGTGGTTTTTTTAACTGTAATAATAAAACAGAATTGGCTATTAAACATATTCCTGCAGGTTGTCTTAACATTTTAAGACAGCCTCCAAATGTTTAGCCATAACTAACGAACGTTGGCTACAAAATAGTGACAACATGTTCATTTGTAACATAATATGCATTCATAGAAGATAATAATTTACAATTCCTTCAAAGTATAGAATTATCATTTCAAAAATAAGTTACTGTTTCTTCTCCCATACTTGTATACTACTATGATACTTCCATCGCACAGTTAGAATATGCTTAATACAAACAGCAAAGTTTTTTCTAATGACGTCGGTAAATGGGCTTTCTCAATCCAACGGGTTGCCTTTCTTGAGTAAAAAATACTTTCTGTTTATTGATTGTTTTCAATTTTTCAAAGAGGATAAAGTATTTTTCGGAATTCTTTTTGTGAATGGAAGCACATTCGTGGCCAAAAATACCATGCAAGTACACTAGAATCCAAAAGAATATTGAAGAAAAGTCAGTTCTTCATGTTGTGAGATCTAAGGAATATTTTATGGTACCGCAGACTATTATTTTCTGCATGTTCATGATCTTCCTGCTTTTGGAGGAAAAAAGTAAAGAACACATCATAATGTATGATGCTGACTGTTCCCACCTGTTACCATCCTTCACGAAAATTTTTAACACAATGGGAATTATTCGGGCGTTGATTTCCCAAGGCATGGGACTTTAAGCTCTTCCTGAAACCAACTAATTATCCAGAAGGAAGCGTTTTCAAGAGACAGAAAATACCTTGCCAGGCAATACGATGCTTACATGTTGACATGTTGACATCACTCGAAACAGCTCTAATGATGGCATCCCATATATCTTGAACAAGTGACAGAAGGTTACAATTACAGGAGAAAATTGCACTGAAGGGATAAACTCTTATTTATACTCTGTAAAAGAATATTTTCTTGAGTAGGAAAATATTCCTGCTTTAGATTATTTTGCTTTGCCTAAATTCGGTATTTTAAAACCTTCCATATGGGCCCCGATCAGCAATGAAAGAGGTCCTTCGATATGGAGGCAAACTAACCGTAAAAGTTTAGATATTTGTGAATTTCTGCCTGACACCTTTAGACAAGATCAAGACGATCCTTCATCCTTCTCACATACGCCAGATTTGCAACACCTTCTAAAAACGCAGATTCCCTGGGGTTCAGCAAAACATACCATGCATGTACACGAGAATCCAAAAGAATATTGAAGAAAAGTCAGTTCTTCATGTTGTGAGATCTAAGGAATATTTTATGGTACCGCAGACTATTATTTTCTGCATGTTCATGATCTTCCTGCTTTTGGAGGAAAAAAGTAAAGAACACATCATAATGTATGATGCTGACTGTTCCCACCTGTTACCATCCTTCACGAAAATTTTTAACACAATGGGAATTATTCGGGTGTTGATTTCCCAAGGCATGGGACTTTAAGCTCTTCCTGAAACCAACTAATTATCCAGAAGGAAGCGTTTTCAAGAGACAGAAAATACCTTGCCAGGCAATACGATGCTTACATGTTGACATCACTCAAAACAGCTCTAATGATGGCATCCCATATATCTTGAACAAGTGACAGAAGGTTACAGTTACAGGAGAAAATTGCACTGAAGGGATAAACTCTTATTTATACTCTGTAAAAGAATATTTTCTTGAGTAGGAAAATATTCCTGCTTTAGATTATTTTGCTTTGCCTAAATTCGGTATTTTAAAACCTTCCATATGGGCCCCGATCAGCAATGAAAGAGGTCCTTCGATATGGAGGCAAACTAACCGTAAAAGTTTAGATATTTGTGAATTTCTGCCTGACACCTTTAGACAAGATCAAGACGATCCTTCATCCTTCTCACATACGCCAGATCTGCAACACCTTCTAAAAACGCAGATTCCCTGGGATTCAGCAAAACATACTGTTGTCATCAACAAGCATCCCGAAGTTTTCTAACGAGTCTAGTAATTTTTTAGCTTTGATTAAGATAAACTTTATACATCCTATTCACAAAAGTCTTTACTCATAAAAGCCTTTGGTTTTGTAACCGTTGGTCCTAGACATATACTACCAATGATAAATAGTTTCAAATGACACAAATATTCAAGTTTGGACATTCTGAAATTAAAAAAATTAATTTTGTAAAAATTACAAAATTTAACTTAATTAATTAATAATCACCTGGCTCTGATAGTTCTATTTAGGAAATTTTATTTTATTATAAAAAGTAAAATACTAAATTTATCTCTCTAGTCTCACTTCTATTAAACAAAAAGTGATCGAAATATTTAAAGCTTAAGATCACAAGCAGAGGCCGTACACATAATAAAGAGCGAAATATTTGGAATTGTTTTCAGTTAAAAATAAAATATCAATTTCGACGAAAGGTTTGTGATATTGATAGATTAAACGCAGAAATGATAATTTCTGCGCAGAATTTCACGACATTTCACGACGTACATTTCACGACAGTTTCACGTACATTTCACGACAGTTTGCGCAGAAATTATCATTTCTGCGCAAACTGTCGTGAAATGTACTGACTAATATTCAAAAACATTTATTAAAAATAAATAAATCTTAGTCACAGAATCTTATAGAATTCATAGCAATTTTCTATATACTTCGTAGCAGTTTGGCGCATAGACAACACGTACGATTATTTACATAAATTAAAAATGAATGATATTTATTAATTTAATGGAGTTTTTACATGATTTTTACGTTATAATTCTAAAATAAAGAAACCTCAAGCGAGCGTTAATAATGTATTTTTAGCGTTTGAAAATTTGCAAATTCTTTCGGTGTACAACAACTTTTGTAACCAAGTTATAAATTAAATGTTATTTATTAGTAAATTATAAACGGATATCACTGAATTGTATTTAAGGAAAAAACAATCACCCTCGAATTATTGTGATTTATGTATTAACCGACTCCTCAAGGCAAGTCGAAAATGGTGTAAGAAAGGGCATATTCTGAAGATCTTGGACATTTTTTGTCATATATTTTCGTCAATATTTTTCGTGTTTATATATTTACTATATATAATGAGGGTAAAAAAAGTCTTTAAATATAAGGATCATAAGTCAATTGGATTTCGTAATTTTTACAAAATTATATTTTGTAAATAAAAAATTGCCAAAACATGAGTGTTTGCGTCATTTAAGAAATTTTTATGATTTGAAGTACAGGTCTACGACCAACGATGTCGTAAATAAAGGCCAAACAAAGGCTCCTTTACCCGGTGTACAAGCTGCTTATTTATCGTACTGATCCCGCTTTTGCTACATTATTTTTGAATATATTTTTTTCAATATTAGCCGCCTAAAATAGTTATCATGAAAAAGAAAAAAAAATTATATAATGATTTTAATGTATCCAGCTAGTGTCATTTCATAAAATATTTAATATTTCTAATTAGGCACCTCGCGATTTAAATGCATTCTTACTTAAATCAATCAGGTTAAAAAGTTTTAAAAAATGCATTAAGAATTACATTTATAGCTTTAAGTTTACCTGATTTGTTAATCAAAAAGAGACGGATTAAATTCAAAAGTTAAATATCTTACATTTTGCTGAATGGTGGTACACTCACGCATGGAAGATAAAAGTATTTTATTTGAGGCAGTGGCAACCGTTCAGTTGGTTAATTAAAAATTCATTCAATTTCCACCAAAAATGCAAAATAAATTTTAAAAAGCAAATTAAAAAATCTGATTTCTAGGTGTACATGTAAGGGTAAAGGATTACGGGTGGTAACTCTAGATACTAAAACGGTTTCTCCACAGCACCCCCCCCGAGGAACATGCCTACATACATACACACAGATTCCTCATATTTATTAATACAGATAGCAGGTAAAATATATTTTGTGAGTCTTAGAACACTCAAAATACTTTATAAACACGTTAATGATTCTTAATATGTTCTTCTTGCTCGAAATGTCTCTCAGGAAAGCTCCACTTTCGGAAACGTGGGAAGAACTTTTATTCTATGCGTACTCTTATATAAAACAGAAATTTGACTCTCATAATAACTTCATTGAAGAAGCCTGAGAGTGTTTCGTATGTTAGTCACTCGCATTTCGTTTTCTTCTGAACGTTCACGCATTTTGCTTATAATTTTAAAAGCTAAAAAACATATTTTTTAATTTTGGAGAATAGTAAGAAATTCTAACTATATAATTCAAGAAGAATAGACTTTAATGCGTATTTTTAACACTAAATATTCTCTGTTATACCTTAGGCACGTGTTTCAGAAGTCTTCCTTCAAATCCATGCAACATATACCTTTGTCGTCTCAAGTAGACATTCAAACTCATTCTGTAATTATCCCTTGTGATACTAGAAAAAAATAATGAATAACATGAATGCTTCGGAGGTAATACTAAATGAACAAATGATTTAGCAATCGAAGCTATAAATCAGCCTTACACATTAGCAAATACGATGAACATGGGAACAACGAACTGAGCAAATCCTTGGACACTTTCTACTTGACTTTTGGTCTGTACCGAACCTGGCCTGAAAAACAAAGAAATTTTTGTCATTATCGTGCACAGTTCAACGGAAGAGTCTCGGTATTGTTTTCACATTAAAATTTAATTTAATCCAAGATTATTTTCAACTTCAAGAAGTCATTGTTATTAATGAAATACGAAAAAAAAACTTGATTTTTATCCGGGTTAACACAGAATAAGAAAAGGAAAATCTGGATATATGATTCACAGATTCATGGTCAGTAATCTTTTAACTATTCTATAATAAAATTACCAGTAGTTCGGGGATTATTTAGCTTATAAACTGCAGGCTTTAAGCATTATCCTGATTATCTGCTTTAAATTCTGATCATTTAAAAGATAAATATTACTACTTACACATTGGGCTACTACTTACACTATGAGAGCACGTAAGGGGAAAGGCAATAATTCCTTTCAGTTAAATATATTGATTTTCTTAATGAATATTTGAATTGCAACATATTAACTTCTTTTATAATTCCATGAGCTGTTTTAAAATTTATAACCTAAATAAGGTTGTACTGGACGAAGCAATTTGTACTCTTGTCCCTCTGTAAAAATAATTTTTTGTATTAATCAAAAGCGTGATTAATAACCTGAAAAGGAATGATTGCGTTAAGACTCTTGAATTACCCAACCAAGTTTTAACTCTCAGATTTCAGTATTTTCTAACGGTAAGGGATGCATATTGATACCATCGTATCCGCAGTTCGTAACCGAGAAAAAGATCTTTTGAAATTTCAAAACGTTCGCCAGGTAATACTTACATAGCCAATGGGTAAATGTAAAAGACGGACTCTGAAACAAAATATTCAGTATTATGGAAGTATTTTCTCTTTTCTTACCATTTGCCTTCATGGTGTAACTGAAAGCACTTTCGATGAGCAATCCGAACGTCAAGAATGGATATCTTATTCGAATGCATAGCATTCAAAGGCAATCGAAGACATAGCTTATTTTTCTTCTTTCAGCTTCAAACAAACCTATGACTCAAACTCAATTCGCGCCGAAACTAAAGTGTGACGTATGTGTTTCGTTACCAGCAGGATATGATGGTTGGATCCCCCACTTCAATCGCTCTTTAAGTGGAGGACATTGCAATGAAATTTCTCACTACTTACAGCATGCCTTCGCGTTGTAACTGGAAGCATGTCCGGATAGCAGTCGGGAGGTCCGGAGTTCAAGTCTTGGTGACGTTATCACTGATATTTTCTGTTTCAAAAAACCTAACAGGTTCTGCAAAGAAAGCTCAGATTCTGTCAAAGTCTCCATTTACAAGGATTAAATTCAGATGGAATATTTCGACATACTAATATGTTTACACAACTGCTATTGTAACTGGAATCTAGAGTTAAATTTCTGCAGACCTAACAGACAAATAGCGAATTATCGCTACGTCTTAAACAACTTCCAAATACAGAAGAAGGTTTAAATGACCTTCTTTATTTCAGTCTGAAAGTGAACTTAAAGGCACAACTTGTGCTACAGATGAAATTTCCACCACTTGTGGACATTTTAAATTAACAGAAGAGATAATAAAATTCAAACGTCTATAACGTATTCTAAAATTACTAAAATTACACATTAAATAGAATAAGCTGGCTCAGATATTTTAATGGCGCGTGTTTAAAGCATCGGCTACCGAGAATGTCAAAGCCAGAATATAACTTTTAAACAGTGCTGTCGAAAATACTAACAGCAAGAAGTGATTGCCAGAAGCTCTTTGACCTTAAGATTCAGAATACTCACCTTAAATATACGCAAAGCTAATTTGTATTCTAGTGACGAATACGAAAAAGCGAATTTATAGTGAAAACTTAAATCATAATAATTGGTTAATTAACATAAGATGCTTTACATGGTTTCGTTACAATAGTTACCATAGTCTATTTTAAATATGATAATTAAGCTTCTTTTGACCATGATATATCTCATTGTAGTTTTTAAATCAGAAAAATATTTTTAAATTATCTATCTTCCATCGAATTAGTGTAAAATATCAAAAATAGCCAACCCAGCAGGGTATTTCTTCTAGAAATTCCCTTTCGATTCTGTTCCTATTTTTTCCAGGCCTCCTTACCAAATTCTGATTCGCTCCTTATGAACATCGGGAACATTTTTCTCTACTGGGATTCAAAGAGAGTGATCTCTGCCGGAACGAAACCAGAATTCATCATGAAGACCAGAGAAGAAAAACCTCCCAAGCTGAGTTCATATGGTTCTAAAGTTCAACATGCGAACTCAGCAACGAATGGGATAACCACTGTAATCCTAAAACTTTCAAATGTCATACACATCACTCGTAATGTAGACTATGTCAACCGCCCTTGTATGGCCATGTAACTTTTAAGATTCAAATATACTCCCGAGGCAGCCTGATGAGGCTCCAGGGAGTTATTACCACTAGATAGTGGAGGACGCGGGGCATATGCCTGTTTACCTATGTTAAACATCAGGCGCCCTCGTCCTCCGTCACCTGTATCAGCTTGGCGACAAAGATTTTAAACTCATAAGAAAGAATACAAATACAATTTTATCCTTTTCTGTTATCCTGTTTTTTATGTCTGGTTACTATTAATTCACTGACCTTTCACTTGCTTTATGATTTCATTTAATATTTATGATGCATTATTTTAAGTTAATAGATAATTCATCTATTTTCATTAATTTAACTTGATATGTTAATTTTACTATTTGTAGTATTGCATTTCGCCTAATTTTAACCACTCATTATTTATTATTTTACTTATTTACTTTGGATCACCGTTTCTGACATCGGCCTTCCATTTGGTTTAAGATCGTCTGATTTAAAAAATTAAGCTCTGGACGTATCTAGTAAAATTAGTTAAGTCCTGCGTTTCTAATATTTATTACTTTCTAGTTTTAACTGGGTTCCGACAAGATGCAGATTAATCTCGTTAATGGAGAACCGCCTGTAAATTCAATGTTTTCTTAGATATTGTATAATATTTTAATAAGTTTTATAAAAATAACATATAGTAAAATTTTACGAATTTGTACTAGAAAATGAACAACAAATAAACATTTTACAAATTTATTCAACAAACAAACACAACATTTGAACAAAATTTCTCACCTTTTACTCCTGACATAGGCAACCGCATCGGTGGGTTTGCATCGCATCGTGTAAACCAAGTAACAAGCCACGAGGACCCCTGCTCGGCCAAGACCCGCATGGCTGTGAATGGCGACTTTGCCTTCGGTTAAAGCAAAAGTCAATACTTTAACCATGTCCAGTAAGACTGTTTTTGGCACTGATCCGTAATCCTTCCTGGTAGAAGAAGAATTTTTTTAAAGATACTAATTTAAAAAGTATGTAGTTTAGAATTATTCGTTCTTGCTGTAGGCTTGCATATTTATTTCTAAAGAGTATGCATTAAGGTCCTATGAAGTAGTTTTTCAAGAGCTAGAAGGTTAAGTACTTCTTAAGATTGTGAAAGACAGATTATTAAAAGCAATAGGAAACTATCAAGAACATCAAAAAGGATAATTCATACATTTTAAAATGTTCTTTAACAGACCTATTTAAGTGTCTCTTTTGGTACAAGTAAATTACTGAAAACCTAAAACTTTTCTGGGATGCAGTGCTTGGAAATCGGCAGATACATCGGCATATTGTATCCAGATTAATGCTTATTACTTGATTCATTATTTTGGTTAATTAGCTTAGATGATCAGTTCATTATTGTCTAGGACAATGGTTTCAGTTCAGACTGCTTGTGAGACGAATGTAGGAATCGAAAACAAATGAAACATAACGGGCCCTATTTTGTTTTAACAAAGTAAAAAGTTTTTTTAACAGAATAAATTATAAATTTTATTTACTAAATATTTATCAAAACGTACATAATTAGTAATAATACTGATGCAAAGGACAAAATTCAAATTTACATGTTTTTTCTATCTAAAATTTAAAGGTTGGTTTCTACAAAAATTTCTGTTGGTTTTACTTTGCAATTCCCAGCTAAATTTTCAATCTGACATTTATTTCAAATCATTCTAAAAATTTACCCTAATTTATTTACTTTTAACTTAAAGTAAAATATTACGAAACCTTTTTACATGAAACAAAATATGAGAATAAACAGCGAGATCTTAGTGTTTTTCTTTTATTAAATATTTCTTCAACACATGCAGAAAAATACTTATATTTTGTAAGTAAATAATTATTAACTTCTTACTTCAAGTTTCACTTACAGCATCTAACAGCGTCTCAATTTTTACGAAGTGCGTAACCTTGCAGAAAAATTAGTCGCACATGAATGTACTATCAACAAGGCGCTTATTTTTATTGAAAACAAAAATCGTTTCTTAGAATATTTATTTTTAAACAGGTGAGAATAAAATCAATCAAATTTGTATCTTCAAATCTGTGAATAAGATTTACATCAGAGTGTAAATTAATACGCTCCATTTGTAATTTTTCTGGGACGATATTCATTAATGATAATGAAAATGATGTAAGATTGGAGTCCATATCATTGAAAGCTTAAACACTTTCTTCAAATCCTGATAATAATGTTGATTCATTTACAGGAAATTCATTTACGGCTGTGTAAAATTGCTTTGGTGACCAGATGCGGTGTTCAAAATTATCATAAATTATATCTCAGATTCTCAACTGAAGGATTTTCTCCGCATCACCAAGAAGAGTAGAATGTCAAAAATCTCAGTTTCAGAGATAATTTCAAAACTCTGAAACTGAAACCATTCAGATTAGTAATTTCAAACTTTAAAAAAAGGAATTTCAAACTTCACAGGAAGTTCTGTTTATTAATTAAAGTACACTGGGCTATCTGCCCAAGGGGAAGGATGCATTTGTGGAGGTTTGTTTTAAGGGAAACTGTTTCGTTTACACGTTGCACATGGGGAAAACGCCCATGCAGCTAGCCCGCTAGCCGGGATTCGAACCCTGGTCCGAAGTACCAGTGTTTAGCGGCTTTACAGCTCGATCGTTAGTGGATAGGCATCATAGGTAAAGCTGGCTAATGAGTGCTGTACTCGCCGATCAAAAATCGCTGAAAACTTTATTATAGCTTTCACGTAAAATGCATCGAAACCACTGGAAAATTTATTTATTAAATGTAATAATGCATATTTTTTACATTAATTAATTTTATAAATATATATAGTTTTTAATAAACACTTAATTTATATCTACATTTATAATACCATTAGTCAGCATATTTTTCAACTATTCAGTATATAATATTTTCAACTGTTGAGTGTAAAATATTTTAAGCTATTAGCATACTACAATTTTAAGCTATTAGAGTACTACGTTTTAAACTATTAGCGGACCCTCAACAGTCTACCTGGCCTTTACTTTTGCAACACAAGCTGTGGATATATACTTCCAAATACAAAAAATGTTTTAAATCACACAAATATTCATGTTTTGCATTTTTAAATTTAAAATAATTAATTTTATAAAATTTCAGACTGTCTTTTGATTTTACTTGCATTTAGAAACATTTTATGCTCCTTATAGAAAATAAAATGCAAAAAAGTGAGACTCCAGTATAAGATTAGATTCATTGGCATAATTTTTAACATAAATTTAATTTTTATTCGCATAAATTTAAAATGAAAAATACTTCAAATTTAATTATTTTTATATAGCTAGATTGATAATATAACTAAATTATGATTCTTAAGTAATAAAAATTCGTGCAAATATTAATAACGCCTTTTTAACGTTCGAAAACTTATAGTTTTAATTTAGAAGTCAAACAACAAAAATCAGCGTTATATTTTCAAATTTTCAAAAAATAAAAAAAAAAAAAAAAATTACGCTCTTGTAGCTGAGGATGATGGTTTGGTAAAACCATCAAAACTAGCCCTGTGAAAATTTGAAAATATAACGCTGATTTTTGTTGTTTGATTTCTAATTTAATATTCGTTCGGCGCGTTACTATATTTTAACTTATAGCTTAATTGTGCGAAAATTCTTTTGGTATATTAATTGCAACAAAACTACAAATTTAAGAAATGTTACACACTAGTGTATCACAAAAGAATATCATCGAATGGCATTTAAGGGAAAAAATGAACTTCCCATTTTTCTAGTTATTTTATTAACTGATTCCTCAAAGCAAATTTGAAACAACGTCAAATATCTCGAATTTTTAATTTTAAATTAAATATCGCAGTGAGGGTAATTAAATATCTCGGTAAATCTTGCCGTGCAACAGTCAAATATTTTGTGTTTTAACTTCTAGAATGAGTAAAAGTTTTTTTAAATATGAGAAAGGAGAGAATGTTTAAATAATTATTTTCGTAATTTTTATAAAACGGACATTTTCGAATTTAAAAATACCAAATCATGAATATTTGCATCTTTTAAAACAATATTGTATCTGGATGCATCTTTCTATTGTCAATGGTTGCAACAATAACGGCGGGTTTTAACTTAACACAAAGTATATTTTTCAATTATTTAGTGTAAAGTATTTTCAGTTTTTCTGCTTCAAAAAATATAACTTACTTTGAATGTCTAATGCCCATAACTTTATTTGATTTGAATTTATTGATTTCTAAAAAGTCATAGTTATTGTTTAAATTTTGTGTATGGATGGATAAAAATAAACTCTCATAGACTAAAACGGCTAAATCTTTCTAAGTTTTATCTACAGTGGATGTATGGATCACTGCATATATGCTTTCTCGAATTGCGTTAAAAATCTGTCTGCTCATTAAATTACGTCACATGATCATTTTCTGCTCTTACTAGAATAAAAAATCTGATGTATACACCACATGACTTCCTTGTACGGAATATTAAATTATACGCAATTTTTCTTGCATTTCCTTTAAACATATTGGATTTAATTAAATATACTTCGCCCACAGCGCATAAACCACAAGAGAATAAACACATTAATTAAAATTCACTCTATTTGTTTACCATAGCGACACTCTGGCGCTAGGTTCACTTAATAGTATTATATTTCGTTCGTATTATAACTCAGAATGCACAAAATTTATATCATTTCAATAATTATCTAATCGTTGCTACATGTTCTATTCAAATACTATAATAAAGCTAGAACGATGTATAAAAGAAATTAAGAAAACAAAACAAAAAAGAAAGTTTTTCACAGACGATTCAGTATTTCTCATTCAATTAATTCAGTTCTCACTTCGCCACAAGATAAAAATACATAAAAACTCAAAATATCCGTATTAAAAATTAAATTACTAATTATTAAAAATTAAAGTATTAAAATTTAAGTAAATCTTAAACATTTATTTCCTCGAAAAAATTCCAGAAAGGTTTAAGCATGATTTAATTCGCAATAATAAATGAAGGCGTTATTTTTGTTGTTGCGTAAGCTTAGTCTCTCTAGATTGACAACAAATCTACTATTATGCTGTTTCAAATGTAAACATGTTATTTAAAACTTAACCGCACTTAAACAGCTTTTAAATTGTTGATAATTGTACAAATATTGTTTGCAGATTTACTAAAGGCATAAAAACCTTAACCGGAAGATAAGAACAACATAATTCAATCATTTTTAAAGCAAAAAATGCACAATTCACAATTTATCTGTAAGCATATAAGAGTAAAGAAACTGAGATCACTGAGCCGGATAGGAGAATGAATATATATATAAATATATTTATATACGTTTGGTGCGGCCGATTGCAACCAAATACGAGGTGCACATCTACATATTATAGCAGTTCTATATACAAAAGTCCAACGTTCTGAGGCTAATCGTTTTTGAGTTATGTGAGATACGTACATACGTTCGTACAGACGCCACGAAAATTTCTCTTCAGAATTCATTTTAAAGCAGTTTTATAATTTTTTTGGAGGAAAAGTCTTCTATTCTGTCCTTACGTACAGATATCACGCAAAAACATCGTTAAATTGCATTCGATAGCAATTAAAATGGATATTTTCGTTAAAATATGCTGCCTGAAACTTTTCGAGATTACAATACTTCCTTTTTACTTCGTACAAGGAAGTAAAAATCTGATGTGGATACCACTTGACTTCCTTGTAGGGCCTATTAAATAATAAACATTTTTGCTTCACTTGATTCAAACTTATTTCCTCTAATTACTCTTAACACATCTCTCGAGGCAAGTTGAAATGACACAAAAAGTTCAAAGTTTGAAATTAAATATCCCAGTAAATTTTTGTCGTACGGGAGTCAAACTTCTAATGATTTTATTTATTCATAACAAGGATAAAACTTTCCCAAATGTGAGTATAGGAATCGGAAACTTCATTAAAAGTTAGATTTCATTATTTGTCCAACACTAATTTTTGTTTTTTAAGTTTGACAGTGCCCAAACGTGAATATCGTCTCCATTTAAAAGACTTCTGTAACTGAATATATGACTACAACGAACCATTGCGAAAATAAAGGCCGGATAAAAACTTTTAAGCCGGGTAAAGAGAGTGGGTATATTACGTATATAACTTTTGGTACTGCGGGATTGCGCAACTACATGTTATAGCAGTTATATATACAAAGTTTCAACGTTCATGAAAAACATTGATCTTGAACTTATTTTAAATCCATTTCACAATCCTTTTAAAAAGAATGCTTACATTCTTCCGTATGTGCAGACGTCACACAAGAAGATATTTAAGCTGAATTCAGGAACTTTCAAAATGGATATTTTTGTTGAAATATGATATCTGAATGTTTTCGCGTTTACTATACTTCATGCAAGGAAGTATGAAAAATACTGTTTAGTTTTAGCCCATTGTCGTCATGGGCAGGAGAACATGCCACGTAGAGTATAATACAGAGAAGCTCAATATTGATAACGGGTAGGTACAGAATATATTTTACAGAACTGAATTACTCCGTGGTATAATCTAAAGGGAGGGAAGAACGCAACGTGTACTGTCACAGGAATGGCTTCGGAGGGTGTAATGACTGTAGAAACTTTTATGTATTTCAGACAGATTTCTGGCTACATTAGCTTATCAGGATGAAGACCCTAATAAGTATATAACAACAAGGACTAATATTCAGCGGGTAACAGTCAATGATTGACAGTCATTCATTAGTAACCACTGCATCATTAGTGTCTGATAATATAACGTCAGAGTGGAGAAGAAGCTTAAAGATGTTTTCATATTAAAATTTACTCTCGCAGTTATTTTCAACAACTTTTTGTTGTAAACTGTATAGCTTTTCAGAAAGAGTTTAATTTTTCAAAAATACAAAATGCACAAAATAACGTAAAATACGATAAATTATTGCATTTTTTATTCCAGGCTGAATTTCAAGATGCAGTCTTCCTTAGAAACAAAAAACTTAATTTTATTAAATTTTTTATGAGTGATACTATTACGATTACATTAAATTAATTAATAGCGATTCTCTTTTTTTTTCTAAATTTTAAACTGAAAACTAAAATTTGATTAACAGCTATCTTGACATTCATTTCTAATCTTGATAAGTGGTTATTTCGTAGATAAGTAGTTACTGCAATGTATATATAATCGGTAAATACTGAAAAATGAAAAAGTATAATTCTATAAGCATATTTTATTATGTTCTACACTTATACAATGTAATATAGAAACCATAAACTTACCAATCAAAATTATAGTAAAAGACTGCATGTAAAATAAAAAAGAAATATACTATAAAAATTATTAAAGCGGCTTTATTTATAACAACAACACAAGCACTGAATAGAATGATTAACACGATTAATAAAGAAAAAAGCTCGTACTTTTATTTTCCATGAAAACTTGAGGATCATACGTGAACCCCGATCGATCGAGCGGCACACCACAAGAATTGTGCTCCCCTCGTTGCTGTAAGTTGATCAGGGACTTGATACCGATGCTATAAAATTCATTTATCTCGTTAGAATGCAAAGAAGTGTATTCTAGTTTCATTATAAGCTAAACAAAAAGGAATATAATTCATTACATTTATATTATTTCATGCCCAGAATGTTAAAAATATACTTATAGGATATGTTCAATGAAATATTGATCTTAAACTAGAAGTTTTATTTTAATTAATATTTCTTATACTAAATCTCTCATGCTTTTCTACATTCTTATAACTCCCTCAAAAATGAAAATTAATAAAGTTTAATTAACGAAGGAGAAGTATGACTCGCCAAGTACTATTATAATGAGCGAGGATGTGGTCAAACGAGTTATATTTATATATTGGCAACTGAACTAGTGATTCTGTAGCTTTCATATTTCACCTACCGTTCTAGCTATCCTGGCTTTCGGTAAGTTCTGATTTTTGCTACAGTTTGTATTTTTTAAATAAGCACTTCAAGGCCGTTGCCATCCTCCACCATTTGAGATCATAATGCATGTCGCCATTACCTCACAGCATTTATTTCTCCATCTCATGTGAGGCTATGGTTCAAGTCAATCTTCATTCATACTCTTTTCATGAAGCGAAACACGTTAAATTCAAATGGACTGCAGCATAAAATTCAACGTCATTCAGACCATCTGCCACAGTTGTCGTTCCCATGGGTACGAGACAAGTCGGGAGATGAAAATGACAATGAAGTTTTTATTTAAAAGTACCAGACCATAGTACGGTAGATGAGTTTGAAATATCCAGCACGTAAGTGAAAACATAAAATTGGGTTGTTTTTATCTTCAGACAGTGCAATATAACAAAAAGTGTTTCTAACATAGATATTTCCAAATGCTTTAGCCTGAGGGCCGCAGTAACTCCTCCACTAAGTCTAAAGGGCCGCTCCCACTGGAGTTTATCTGAGCTAACGAACACCATTGTCGTATCCGACTTATCTCCTATCGCACACATGCATTTTTGAAATCCCATACTGACATATTATGTAACTGACTTTCATCATAACTAGCAGATAGACATCCAAAAAATTGATTGCACGCTATACATGAAAATGTTAACAACTGTTTAAGAATAAATGGAAGCAATACAATATATAATTTTCACTAAAACAATATCAGACTAACAAATGTGAAAAAAAGTAATTTGATCATTAACTAAGTAGTTTTTATAGAGGTAACCTCATGCAGTTAACTTATCTTTCTTTTTCTAAGCATTTGTAGACTGTATTATTCCTAAAGAATTATATGTAAAATATTATAAAAATGGTTAGCTTATTAACGGCCTTTGTTAATTAACTACGCAAATTTAAAATTATATTTACTCCTATAAGTTTGCATTAATTTTCTACTCATTTTCGATTTTTAAATGCTTAAATTTAGAAGTAAAGGAATTCCTCTTTCCTTCTTGCTCTCCCAATCATTGTATGAACATGCATTTACAACTTTTAAAACCTGAAAATTCACGTGTGCGATGTTATCGTCATGCGATGATTTCTAGGTACTTTATTTTTTACCAAGATATTTTCGAAGATGATGCTTTTAAACTGCTAAGATTTTGAACCGCTGTTTTTTCGACCACGATATTTTGTACCACGATGTTTTAGAGCTACGATGTTTCCCCCCATGATGTTTTATACCATGAAGCTTTCGCCTTGCGTTGTTTTCTTTGCGACGTTTTCTTCCGCAGTGTTTTTGCCGCGCTGTTTTCGGCGAACAATGAATTATTAGCTTTACATTTCTAAGCGGCCAAACCGTATATATAGGTTCAAAAATATTGTCATGATATCGTTAAGTACGCAGACATTCACCTCGAAATTTGCCCTCACAGTTAAGGTAGTATGCATATAATATATATAGGGAAAACAAAGAACCAAGAGGAAGCTTTATTTTGGAATATTTCGGCCAAGAATACTTCGGTTAAGGAAATGCCGTATACACACGTTGCTTTTTGGGGGGAAGGAGAGTGAGTTCAGGATTTCGAGGTCAAACCCCAAGATGCTTAGAGGGTTTTAAGAGGCTTTAGTTACTCATCAGTTAACGAATCTACATATTGCATGAATGTGAGTCCAAATACCATACTTAAAATATTTAGAGCAAGAATTATCACTTTGTCACACCTTAAAGTACTTTAATATAAATAAACATAAAAAATACTATTTATGATAAAACAAATATTAACAAGACATAATGTAAAATAGATTTATTTTACTTACTCACGAAACTGTTTGATGATTTTGTACTTCTCGATGATTTCAGTGGAAGGTCGAGCCATCGTCACAATATCGTCTGTGATCCTGCATAAAGGAATGTTCAATAAAGAGTTATTAGATGTTAACTACCATATCTGCTGAAGAAACTGAAACGTAAATAGCAATTGCATTTACCTCTTTGCATTCATTTTCATTTGAAGAAAAGGAAGCTAATATCAATGACGGTGTTCTAATCCGTGTACTGATACGTACACAAGAGTGTGTGGTTATTTTTAATACGCTCTTATATATTTTAGATAGAGAGATAGGTATGCAATATTCTAAGGATGATTCTCAACTGGGATCTGGCATTTTATATGAAGTACCTGTTGCTTATTAAAATCACTTCCGTTTCAAATCTATTTTGAGTTAATTAATTGGCTGAGTTTAATAGACGGCGATTTTTGTACTGCAAACAGTGATATTAGTTTTAAACTTTTCAAGTAAAATAATAATTAACAATAAATTCTAAAATTAAATTATATACCTAATTTGAAATTAATTTTTTTAATTTTTATAAAAATATTTTTATAGTTAGGTTCTTAATAAAATTTTATCTTTTACGAATAACTATTCTATTTTGTTTTTCATGCTGCTTGTAAGGTATTTCCTCCTTCCTTTCTGCATGCCTTCGTGGTGTAACGGTGACACACTCGACACGTATTCGACGGGTCTAGTTTCGAGTCCCGGCGAGAATATTGCTTATTTTTCAGGGATCCTGCTTCGAAACATCCTAATGATTCTACATGCTCGCCAACAGTTCTTCAGTTGTATTCCCAGTTTCGTAAAGCAGCTTATTGCTCTTTTCATCAGCACTCTTCAGTTCAATAATTTTTCTCAGATTTTGTAGTGCTTTTCTAGATTCACTTGATGATGACATGTTATCACTTTCGCTGTCAATTTTTGCAGTTCTTTTAATACTTTGTGCACCTTGTCTCAATATTGCTGTCAAGTCACGAATATTCCAAAACTGAACCCCCGAAACTTCCATCATTGATAACAAGAAACATTAACTATAGGTTGAAAATACTATGAGGTTTCTTTCATGTAAAAGACACATTTTCGAAAACAGTTTTTAAACAATTTTCAGTTATTGCACTGACTGTTGACTGTAATGCGAATAGCCTCTAGCAGAGATATCGACTTACTTACCTAATTCGAAGTACTTGCATTTTCAGAAAATTAAATTCTATTCATCACTTATTAAACATCTTTTTTGGAATCACATTTGGAAACTTTTAGAGTAGTGTAAAACTAATGGCTGAATATTAGATGTTGCAGGAAGAGACACTAAGGTTTTTTAGAAAGAGATGTGTGTGTTGCATAGCTGCTTTTTTTTTTTTTTTTTTTTTTTTTTTTTTTTTTTTTTTTCGTTTTTCATTTCGCTGTTCCATTTAAAAAGAAAATCATTAAAAATACTAATTTTGATTCATGAGCTCTTGTTGTCATGGAAAGTTAGAAGAAAATTTCATACTCCTTTCAAACATAGAGGTTTCCTGTTTTTGCCAGTAACTAGAGTTGTCTTCTTAATTGTTCAGTCATACTTCACGTTAATAAAACTTATCCTTCAATTTCTTCATATACCAAACTGGAAGTATACCAAAGGAACTTTTCTAGTAGGAAATAAAGGGGGAATAATTGATCTGTTTTTATAATAAAAATTGCATTTTTATTTCTATAACACTGTTTATGACTAAAATACAAATGGGGTGGGTAAAATATACACTTTACATAAATCAAGAACTGCATAAAATAATGTACATAAATGATTTTCAGCTATCCATATCGAAATCAATTTTTCATCCTACTCTCTGATCTCTCTGATGTCTCTGATCTGTTTTTTGGAATCGATTTCACCTTTTTCCTTTTTTACAGCATTAGCTGATTTAATTTTGGTTTTCATAATTGTAGAATACATCTATGCCCTCGAGTACAGAGGTACCACAGCATTGTATTTCTGAATAATAATCATTCTTTCCAAATAAAGAAATTAGGAAACTGCATGGAAAAGAAGAGCTAATTGTGGACACTGTCATAGAACGGTTTACTGCAGTACTGTTGGTTTTGAACTGTTCCGTATATAATAAATTTGTGCGGTAAGCGTGAGTATAACTACATTTCAATGCTTAGCTGTGACTTCAAATGAAATTTTTTAAGTTTTTCTTAGGATGAACGCATATTGCGGGATTTAATGAAGACAAATGTAATGATGTATTTTTTACTTAAACAGATACTTTCTGTTTTTTCCGCAATGTTCAAGTAAAAATCTCTGTTTAATTAATATTTTACCCCATATCACCAAATACAAGATTACAAAAATGCCCTTTGCTTTGCTTTCTTACACATTTATTTATCATCGAAATGTATAGTTAACTCTCAGAGCATGAAAAAGGAGTTTAGCGTAAAATGTGTTCACTGTATCCAGAATTTTGTTTCACAACCTTTTGCAAACGAACCTTTGCTTCTGTCACAACTCTCCGGCATATGTTTTCCGAAATTACACTGTACAACTGCACGATAAGAGCCTTGACCTACGTTTGGAGACTTTGTTGCAAGTACCTTAAAAAGAAATCACATGGTTTAATATCTGGGCTCTATTAAGGCCATTGTCTCCCACTTCCACAACGTTTAGCAAAGCGATGTGATATCACATGCATATTAAACGTTTCATGTACGAAATCAAGAACAACATTTGCAGTGCGTGGGTAGGCTCCATCTTGTATGAACATCTGAGTGTGTAAAGCAATTGTTAACTTTTTCATTGTGTGCGGACAATTGATGGGCACCGTCGATTCTTATCCAGCACAAAGCCATTGGCTTCCCGTTGCTGGCACAATTTGTGAATGGTATTGTTACAAGTATATTGTGTGCAAGAAGTCCTTTTTGTGTCACCACCGCTTCGTTTCTTCAAAAAATATAATAACTTTCACTACTGTTCAACGCTCAGCCGCCATGATTCGCCATCTTGCAAGCTGCTATTTCGCAGCAAATTAAGCGTCCGATACGGAATTCTCTTAACATTCACTGGATGTTGCATGATCAAAAGTCCCTAAAACAAGCTGGACATTCAATATATAATTCGAAAATTTTATGGAAGTAACAATGATATGTCATTTCGTACTTATAAAATCACCGCGTACTTACAAAATTCAAGTTTGTCTGAAAGATTGAATCAAATTAGTACGAATCAATTGCCCACGAGCTTTCTTCACATGCAAATAAGAATTATTTCCTTTCATATAACTTGGGAAAACTGTCTTCCCCCACGACTTAACTATGCAAGTGAATATATGTGAATATATGTGAAATAAATATATGTGAATAGTTCAACAATTAAAACAAAATTGAAAATAATGAGTCAGATCAATATTGAAGATTTTCGGAACGAAATCTGAACTTTGACATTAAAACTCAAAAGTCTCTTGTATTATAAATTTGGTTAGATATTTATTGAACGAAATTATAGCAAGTGCTACTAATAATTAATTTTAAAGAGCTAGATTTTAATCGAATTTTAATCATATGTGATCTACGCACTTTCAGAGCGAAGTGTGAAAAACACAATGTGGAAGAATGAAACGAAATTTTTCACACCTGCCAATTTTCGGATTATGTGGCTACTGTTATTGATTTATGCACTTCTAGAAATAACGTGATGATTACCCTGTATCTCTTTGCGGTCAGCAATCAGCTTCCTCCTCATTGTCAGGGAAGAGCAAACAGGTGAAACGGATAGTTAATTAAAGATTTGGTGTGATTATGGTGTTCCCACTTGTGTTTAGTTTTCAGCCGATATGACTGGTTAATTTTGTAATTGAGTTAATACTCGAGTTACGAAACGTATAAATCTACAGCTGTGTCTTTAAATTATATTGGAATAAACAAAAGAATATTATAACAAAAGAAACAATTATAACAAAAGAATAAATGCACTCTTTAAAATTCACTATATTTGTTTACCATAGCGACACTCTGACGCCAGGTTCACTTAACAGCGTTACCTTTCGTTCATATTATAACTTAGAATGCACAAAATTTATATATATTGTATTAATCTTTGTAAATATTCCTTTACGTATAAGTCATGCAAACAGGCAATAAAGTGTTAAAATGGATCTATCAAGAGTGTTCTATCCCTTGTTATCCAGCCATACAATGACAAAGAAACCAAACAGTATTTTTTATGTTTTAATATCGGAAAGAAACAGTAAATCGTGTTCGTTGTTGCGGCTCTAAAGGTTATCAGAAACTAAATTTCTTATGGAATATGAAATTGAAGACCTACACGTTACATATTTCAAAAAATTATTAAGATATCTGCAAATTCTCCAGAATAAATGTAGACTTCAAAACTTATTGCAAGATAACATTTAAAGATATATTTTATAACTTCAGCGTCATACTTTGAATTATTTGTGTACGGCCTAAAGATTGGGTTATGCCGTATTCAAGTCATTTTAATTATTTGAACTCGGCAAAACTAAGAAGATGGATACCTTTGATGAGTATTTTCTAATTGAAAGTGATTCATATGCACACGAGAAGAACTAGAAAAACCAACCACACTATCAGCCCTTTCGCCTGGAATCGAGCCCAGATAATTAGCAGTCGCAACCACTCCAGTGGTTCTTTGAGTATAAAATAATCTTTCCTTAATTCAATTTTCTGAGCTCCTTTTTAGCTGATATGAGGATACAAATTTATACTTTACTGCACAATGTGTATAAAATCCTCTCTATTGCAATGTTTTCCACTTTAATGAATAATCTCGATTTAACGGATTTTAACGATTTTTCGCCAATTCAGGACAGATCTTGAAATTTCAATTTGGCTATGGGCACTGTGATATTGAAAATCATAACTTGATTTCGCTAGCTTTCTGTTTATAATAATAAGCCGCTTACTACTTTAAGTGGGCTAAAAATCTAAAACTGACATTTTAAATCCCTTTACATAACTTCAAAATCAACACACATTAACTGAGAATGTAAAAAGACAGTATCAGTTCAATCATTATATATTAAAGAAAATGATGAAAGTTGGAAAGATTTTGAATTCACTCACCATGTGGAGAAAATGCCCATGATCGGCATGTCCTCCTTCTGCCAGTAACCAGCGCCCTCGTAGCGACATTTCTTCCCGGGGCAGAACACGGTACACTGGAAGTTCTTCGAAGAACTCTGTCGCAGCTTCTCGGAGATGATTCCATATCTGTAAAAGGTATTCGATTGATTTTAATAGCTTATTTCTTTACAGAACAAAACGCTAAACAATATTTTTTTTTCTTTTGAAAAAGCCAACTTCGAAATTCTAAGAAAAAAACTTTTATATTAAAGAAAAGAACAAGTTTTAGTGAGAGTTATTTTTACGTTCCTCTAACAGTTAAGTCGCAACTTTTCTTGGTGTTTGTCATAATTCACTCAGTCCAGAAGGTTGAAGTTGTTTAAAAGCGAGATAAGTGCTGGCAGTTCTTAAATGCAACTCAGACTTCTGTAGAATTAGATCAATGCTATTCGTAGCCAGAGACTTCAGTTACGAAGATGGAAATACAAAGAATTAAATGGAGCGGCCACCTGAAGCCCTTGTGTAGGGAAACTGCTTCATAACAGTGCCCCGGCATAACGGCACAAGCTGGCCTTATGCAAGCTGACCGATCTTCTAAAAGACAAGAAATCTTCACAAAGCTGTCGCCGTCTTAAAGGAATGTTCACAAATTGAAAATTATATTCTCATTTCAAACAGATCGTTGGCTCCTCATGTCCATCCCGCGTTTTTCATAAAGGTGCATATCTACGTTCCTTGATAGAAATAGCTGACCCTTTTCCATGGAAAGGCATATTTTAAACACTGCTTAAATTTGAACAGTGGTTTGACATATATGGGCTGTGCCGTGAAACAATTTTTGCTGACGAGTGAAACAATAAGCGGACATTTTTTTGTTTTGTTTTACAATTATGCATATTTATTTGAATTGAAAATTAATTTGCAACTTTAAATTTTCTGGAGAGCTCGTAGATGTCAATGCTAAAAAATGAGAAAACACTAGAAAAAAGAAAACATTAAATGAAGGGAGTGGAATCGAAACAATTCATTACCAACTGTAAAAATTCTGTTTTATATTTGAAATCGATATGCTATTTGATAGCCAAAAGAATGTTGAATAGGATATTTAAAGTATTAAACAAAACATATTAAAAATATAGTTGACAGAATACTGAAGATTTAATGATTAAAGATAAAATAATTTACTTATGGTGCATATTCATTCAAAATAAAAAAATCTGATATGTACATGACATAACTTCCTTGTACGGAATATTAAATTATATGCATTTTTTCTTGCATTTCATTTAAACATATTGGATACTTCGTCGACAACGCATAAACAACAAAAGAATAAATGCACTCTTTAAAATTCACTATATTTGTTTACCATAGCGACACTCTGACGCCAGGTTCACTTAACAGCGTTACATTTCGTTCATATTATAATTCTGAATGCACAAAATTTATATCATCTGAAGAATTATCTAATCGTTATCACATGTTCTATTCAAATATTATAATAAATCTAAAACGATGTATAAAAGAAATTAAGAAAACAAAGCAAAAATGAAACAGTTTTTCACAGATGATTCAGTATTTTTCATTCAATTAGTTTAGTTCTCACTTCCCGACAAGGCAAAAATAGATAAAAACTCAAAATATCTATTTTAAAAATCTTAAACACTTATTCCCTCGAATAAATTCCAGAATGGATTAAGCATGATTTAATTCGCAATAATAAAAGAAGGCGTTATCTTTGTTGTTGGGAAGCTCAGTTTCTCTGGATAGGCAACAAATCCGTTATTAGTTTCAAATGTAAGTAAACATGGCCGCCATCGCAAAAATAATTAAGCTTAGCCGCACTTAAACAACTTTTAAATTGTTGATAACTCTAAAAATATTGCATGCAGATTTACTAAAGACATAAAAACCTTAACCGGAAGATAAGAACAACATAATTCAATCATTTTTAAAGCAAAAAATGTACAATTTACAAACATATAAGAGTAAAGAAATTGAGATCACAGAGCCGGGTAACAGAGTGGATAGATATATACGTACATTTATATACATTTCATGCGGCCAATAGCAACCAAATACGAGGTGCACATCTACATGTTATAGCGGTCCTATATACAAAATTTCAACCTTCTGAGGCTACTCGGTTTTGAGTTATGCGAGATACGTACGTACAGAGGCCACGAAAAATTCTCTTCAGAATTCATTTTAAATCAGTTTTATAATTTTTTTGGAGAAGAAGAATCTTTTATTCTGTCCTTACGTACAGATATCACGCAAAAACATCGTTAAATTGCATTCGATAGCAATCAAAATGGATATTTTCGTTGAGATATGATGCCTGAAACTTTTCGCGATTGCCATGCTTCCTTTTTACTTCATACAAGGAAGTACAAAGGATTAGGTTAATATATATATTCTTTTTACTCCTTATCTATATAGCTGTTTGTCTTTTCGGTGAAAATAAATTTTGTTTATAAAATTGCGGACAGCTTTATAAAAATTGAGCATTTTTCATTAACATGCTGAAGATTTACTTCATTGCCTACTCAAATAATTAATCAGTAACGGAAACGAAAATCGGAGCTGTATAAAGTAACGCGCAACTTTTTGAAAAATGCCGGATTGGCATAAGGGTGCCGACGATCTATTTCAGGCAAGAAACTGGTGTCCAGCTTGTGACGTTCGCTAACGATGCGGCACCGAAATAAAGATTTCTGTTCTTTTTTCTTTTTTTTAAATAGCGGTTGATTTGTACAAAGATAAGGGACCATTATGAAAATGTCCCCTGTATAGTCTATTTGAAGCCTCTTCGCTGAAAATCTTTCCTGTTTTTTTGCTTCTGTTTTTATCGGCCCAGCCAGACTGCCATTTGCATGTAACTCGGCGTGTTCACGTGGTTTTAAACAAGTTAATAGAAACACAGCTTTATTAAAATTTCTTGTTACTCGGTTAAAATGCTTTTTAAACTTATTATTGCGAAATTTGTGAAGAATTAGCATTTGCAATGAATATTAAATACGCTATTAATAAATGCGTTTATATAAACAATACGAGGCATGGGAATGTAATTTCAAAACAATTTGCTCCTCAGTGCTATTTAAATTTGGATAGATAATTTAAGAGATAATAGTAAAACCGCAATCGTAAGCAGATAAAACATCGATAAATAATATTTTTATATTAAAAAATAATATGTAATGTGAATTTATTTTCAATTTAAAAATTCTACAGCTGTTAAATAACATGAAACAAAAATCGTAGAAAATAATAGATAAACTTCCGGATAAAATAGTAAGACTTAAAAAGTTATTATCTTATTAAAAAAAACCTATAAATTATTCCACGAAACATTAATAAGGTTAATATAAAACGGGAAGAGAAATTTATTCGAAAATTCAAAATTTATATTTCATGAAAACAATTTCAGTTACATAGTATATTAATCCTCTTGTATTTAAATACCTACCTCGCAACACCTCAGTGATATTATCAAAAACGTGAGAAGAATTATGGAGTACATTAAGCAAATAATACATTTTTTCTATCAATGGCATTTCTATCAATGTTTTTCTATCAATGGCAGAATTTTTTAAGTTATATCCTAGAACTTTATATTGGAAATAAACCTCTATGGAAGTCATATCTCTACTATTAAATAATAAAGAATAGTTATGTAGATATGTACTTTCCTCCACTGCGGAGAAACGACGGCGCCTAAAGCCACCAAATTTTGAATACACTTGCCCACCCCAACCTGTGCACCTAAATTTGAATATCCAGTTAGTTTTTGTTTTTAACGAATTTATTTTATCTTTTTTTCTAAGACTACCGAATTTTTGTTTTATTCAATATTCTGTACGAATTTAATGCATTTTTATTAATAATTTTGAAATCGTGATTTCAAAGCGAACAGTGTCAACACTGTTCGATATAAAGCATTTTTATGTTCAGTACGCAGGTTATTGCCATTCAGCAAAGTATAAGATAATCAATCAATCAATCAATCTTAATCAACAAAGTCGGTTGGTTAAATGCAGTGTGTGGCCAGTGCCTGAAATAAAATACTTTTATCTTCCACGCGCCAACATATTGCCATTCATTTGAGCGTAAGATATTTAATTTTCAAAAACAAACTAAGCAATTGAAAAGCTGTTAACGCACTTCTTAAGAATATTTTTCTGCTTTTTATTTTAATTGATTTAAATAAAAATGCATTTAAATCGTAAAATATCTAATTAAAAGTACTAAATATGCTTTTGAAATTGCAGAAGCTGACATTAAAATCATTGTATACGCTTTCTTTTTTATGATAACTATTTTATGTGGTTGGCCGCTCGAGCAGCTAAAACAACAAATACAGTGGATGGACAAAAATATGGAAACACCTTGTGAAATGCATGTTTGAAAAGAAAGATTGATTTTAATGAAATATGTAGGTGGCGCTGGCGTTTTTAACTACTGACGCCACCTATACAACTTCGTAAATGTGCTAAACAGTTCAGTTTGTTGTCGAGTACTGTTATGTGAGGTGTCATTGCATTATGTCAGAGTTAACAACTTCGAACGTGGGCAAATTGTTGGAGCACGTATGGTAGGTGCTTCCGTAAGCAAGGTAGCCGAGGTTTTTAGTGTTTCAAGAGGACTGTATCGAAGATTTATTCCGCATATTGAAAAGCGGAAAAACATCATCTGCTAAATCACAGCGCGACGAAAGTGTGTCCTGAGTGATCGTGACAGACGATCATTAGGCATTGTGACGAAAATAGAAGACCACAGCTGCAAAAGTTATTGCCGAAATGAATGTTGTGTTACCGACCCTGTGAATACCAAAACAATTAGAAGGGAGCTTCATAAACAGGGAATTGCTGGCCGTGCTGAAATTGAGAAGCCACTCATCAGTGATGCTAATGCCCGTAACAGAAAAGTAGTGTTTAAGTCATAAAGCCTGGACTATAGAGCAGTGGAAGCGAGTAATATGTCTGACGAGTCTTCTTTCACATGTTTCCCACTTCTGGCCGAGTTTACGTCTGGAGAACGCCATCTCATGCCTATAATACAGACTGCTTGTTGCCAAGAGTAAACATGGCGGGGGTTCTGTTATGGTTTGGGCAGCCATATCGTGGTTCTCTGCTAGCCCCATATAACTGTGTCAGGGCACTGACTGCCAAGACTTATGTGAACAAGTTCATCCCATGGTAAACTTTGTTCCCCGATAATGATGGTTGTCTTCCAAGACGACAAAGCCTCTGTTCACACAGCTCACATGTCCAGGACTGGTTTTCTGACACGAGGAGGAGTTGTCCCATCTCCCCTGCCACCACAGTCACCAGACCTATTATCGAACCTTTGTGGTCTACATTAGAACGGAAAGTGCGTTCTTTACACGCAACATCGTTATCTGAACTTGCCACCGTTTTTGCAGAAAGAATGGTATAATATTCCTTGGCAAACATACAGAACTGTATTATCCATTCCGAGAAGACTGCAAGCTGTTTTGGATGCCAATGGGTTTTCTACACCATATTAAGCAAAGAAACATGTTTTTTTAAAGGTGTTTCCATATTTTTGTCCAACCCCTGTAAATACAACAATACAAATAACTTCTTTTGTTATCTTCTTTGTGATATGCACAATTTTTACCATAATTATCAGGATGAAAGTATCTTTCCTATTGCTGCATTTAAGCTTTCAAATAACTATGTTGCACCATCAATCACATTAAAGTGTTCAAAATTAATATTAACAATTCAAAGTTATATTTTGGCTTTGGGGATATCTGCGTTATAATAATTTAAAACAGCGGCATTGAGTAGAATCCCTCAGAGAAATTTATGACTTTAAATTGTGTTATTTTGAATTATACATGATTTCCTACAGAAACATGACGTTTTACATACGGTTTAGTATCTTCATTAGAAACAGAAATGTAAAAATGAAATTTAAAAAAAATTCTTTATAGTTGCTTTATTTTTTACCATGATATTTTCTAGGAGGATGTTTCAAAGTTGCGAAGTTTTTTTAATCGCTTTGTTACCACGATGTTTTAAAACTGCGATATTTTCTAATTGTTTCTGTTTCTCTCACAGTGTTTTGTATGACTTTATTTTCTCCTTGCATTGTTTTCCTTGCATTGTTTTCCTTGCGTCGTTTCCCCCTGTAATGAAATTTACAACAATATCTAATGTTATCTATATTGAGTGTATTGTTACAAACGGTATAAATAACATTAGATATTGATTATAATGACACTCTGAGTACAAGGCCAAGAACTAAGGTAAGCTATTAAGATATCGTATTAAGGTAATAATCCCTAATAAGGGTGCTGTTGTTATTGTATTCAATTAGAAATTATGCTGAAATGATGTCATGCAAGCAAACAGAAGAAATGCATTTGGGCGTTAATAGAACGAAACCATTGGGTGATATACACGAAAACTGATTTTTGGAGACTTTTAAGATAATATTAAGCTTCTAACTAAGAGGCTCTGTTTGTTTCATGCTTGCAGATGTGTCAAAAAGGTAAGTGCCAATGAATGCGTCGAAAGTCGAATACGTTTAATAGGAGCCAAATACTTACTGGACAGGTGGCAAAGTACCTAGAGCTAATGTCTGCGATCCGGAGAACTTTACTGGTTTCAAATCCGGCAAGTTACACTTTGAATCGGAGCTCATACTTCATCCTGAAATAGAAAACAACAGTTTTTAATTTCCATGTATAACATTTGAATAAAAGTCTATTTCCTGAAATTCTTTGATTATGCCATGAATGAGAATGCTTTTAGATGTAATTCTTATGTTCCAAATGTATACCATTTACGCTATAATGCCTGGAAGTTCTGACTTATGGATACAAATATCTCATACTTAATTCAAAAATAATAAAATTTAGCAACAGAAATGGTGCAGTGCTATTAAAATATGAAATAGTCCGAGTTTCCATTTGGGCTATATGAAGCCACTCACAGTCCATTTTACTTGTATTGCACCAAGTTCTGTCTCTAAATTTTAGTTTTGTATCTAAAATAATATTCCCTCTGTATCGAAATTATAGTACTCTTTGAATAACTTGTATCGAAATGACTGTTCTATTTTTAAAAAAATAAAATATTTCCCCTATTCTATCACTAATTTCTATCACTATTAAATATGTATAATTTATTAAGTATGATAGAATTATATGAGTATAATTAATATTTATTTGACTTTTATTTTGCATTTATTACGTGTTATTTAATTTTTAAAGTTGTTTATTGCTTCATGAGTGGCATTAATGATTCTCTGGCACAATTCATGAATTTTTGGATAGTAATTTGAGATCTTTTTCACAATCATTTCAGCTTCTAATTTTTCCTCCACTGCATACTGCATTTTATCGCTTTCTGCAAAGTAAAAAAAAAAAAAGTTGTTTAATGTTTCGATATTTAATGTATTGAATGAAGTATAAACAACCTGAAAATGTTGGTAGGCGCAATTTTTTATTGTACTGCTTGTATGGCATTAAAGAGTTCTAAAACAAGATGGTAAAATCAAGGCTGAAGTTGACAACACAACTGGATAATACATCCATCTTCATTTCAGTCATAGTGGCTTGTTATTATATTCCACTAACAGTTTTTCACGACACACCGTGTTTTTTACCAGTAGTCACTATAATACAACGCTTATGTTTGCTTAAGTTACAATGCTTTCATTTTTAAAGTTTCTCAATAGCTCTTGTAGTTTCGAATTTCTTTTTTCAGACCTTAAAATGCGTTTCTCCCCCCATAACTCCATACATGCATATAAATCGACGTACATAGTACCAAAATCTTATTTTATAAAAATAGAAGGCAATATATTCAAAACCACTTTTCATGCCTCTACCTCCTTAATTCGCTATTAATTTATCAATCGGGCAGTTATTTCGATATAAAGGGAGTAAATTTTTAATGGGTCAAGGACAACATGAATTAAATTAAACGTATCTAAATTATTATCTAATTAAACGGATCTTTATTTAACTAAACGGACGTAAATTATTGGCATAGTCGACCTTTCATATTCATATCAATTTATTGACTCATAAAAAAATCTATTCTGACAAACTTCTTTTTAATTTGATTGGATTAATTATATAATTATATACAACGGAGTTTCTTTAGATGAGGCAGGACAAGAATAAGCATATGAAACACTAGGACTTTATCTTGTGATCCCCTACAAAAATGTCTTACAGAATTTTGTAAAAGAATCAAGTTTTAAGGGCTGTTGGAACCCTAAAATCTTCAAAAAATTGTGATTTCGGATTTTTGCATTTTCAAATTCTCTACGCTTTTATCTTTCTAAAAATACCATTCTTTAATCTCTATGAAAATTAGAACTGTAAAAAATCTAGTTTTAATTTGTCATCTACTGCTTTAATCAATGAGGAATGTTACATAAAAACGCGTTTTTCTCCAAATGTGATGTTTTTATACTCGATGTACCTTTTCTCAGGAACCACTGCTCACAGGTATCTAAACTTTTTATGGCTTATTTATTAGGTTCCCTAATATTTACTGAAATGAGCGTTTCGTAATAAAGTTATAAAAAAAATTATTTAATTTTTTTGTGTGAGAAAAGTGCTAAATTTTACTATGCCTAACAAAATATTCTGTAATTTGCTCTAAAATTCAAAATGTTTCAAAAGCTTACTTCAGTATAATCAGATAGGTATACTTTAATTACACAAATTTAAAGCTTGTATCTACAGCAGGTTCTGAGAAAAGGTACATCGAAAATGGCAAATTTAACATTGTCGGTATAGGGGTTTCTGATACCCCTTTTAAACTTCTTTAAAATTATGACCCAATTTTCTATAACCTAGGTTAGAGATCATCTACAGAATTTTACAAACATTTAGATACACTGTTTACAGAGTTTTGTAAAGAGATTCTATAAAGATAATGTGTAGATATTCAATACAGATTTGTGAAGAGATTGCATGAAACGTTATACAGTTTCCATAAATCCCACGTGCAGAATCTTATGATTGTCTCAACTAATATAATTATACGGAAAATGTAGATCCATTTTATTGAAAACTAAATTCTAAAGGATTCTAAAAAATCCCGTTTTTAATTTTCCATAAGGGATCCTAAAAGGCTTTTGAGTATTTGAAAGCTTTATAAAATCCCCAAAGTTTTCATTACGGATTACTAAGAATGAGATATTTTTTCATTTTCTAATAGCATTTCTTAAACTAAAATTTGAAATGTACTGTAATATAGAAAAAGTGAGAGAATAAAATCTTTCGGAAGAGATAGAGACCTTTTTCTGATAAAAAATTTGAATAGCATTATCATTAGAAAACATTTTAAATAAAATAAATATATTTTAAATCATAGCTGCTTAAATTTAAGAGACCACTTCTCTTATCTGGAAAACATATACAGTAATTAAAAGCATTCATTCCAGGAATTAAAACTATCCTGTCGAAAATTCTGAAGATTTTTAACGAATACGATTCTATAAAGGCTTTATAAAATTTCTATATAATTTTGCAAAGCAAAATTCCTATAGCTCTGTCAAAGTTTTATCAAATGTCCTTAAAATATTATAGAGAAACATTTTGATAGAAAATTACCTATGAAGTTCCATAAGAACTTCTAGAGAGTTCTACTAGCCAGTACTAAAAATTTTCATAAGAGTTGATAGAGGAGTCAAATACGAGCTTTAGATCATAGAATCTCACGATGCCACTGATCTGGTAAAGCATCCTGCTGGGTTTTCATACTATCTCTTCAAAACATTTCACGAATTATTATTTAATACACTAAACTAAAGACTTATGTCTTAACAGATATCGTTCACAATACCTTGGTTTTATCCTGAAAGGTACTTCACAATATTTCTGATTTTACTGTTTGGAGTGTTTATAAAATATCTTTGAAATTAAAGTTCTCTCGCAGCTGGTCTAACACTGTGATGTGTTCGTGTTGTATTTTCTCCCTCCTTCCAGTGTGCCTTCGTAGTGTAACGGGTAGCATACTCGGCGTGTATTCAAGAGCTCCAGGTTCGAGTCCCAGCGAGGGCATTACATATTTTTCACGTCTTCTGCCTCAAAAATCCTAATGACTCTACAGTGACACCCGAACTAAAAGGCGGTGGATGATGATTCTTCACTACCAAGATTTGACGATTGGGTCCCCTAATCCCTAGTCACCCTTTAAAAGGGTGACTATATAAGGTATTTTAACCCTCATTCCAGCATGCCTTCGTGGTGTGACGGTTAACATCTCGGCGATCAAAGGTCGAGTCCCGGCAAAGGCAGTTCTCATTTTTCATGTACTTTTGTTTCAAAATAACCTAATGGTTCTAAAGTGTTAATGGTTTGGGTCTGATTTATTTGATTATGGCATAACATTAATATGGCATAAAAACAGCATAAAATTAATTTAATATAAAAATAATTTTAAAATTATAATATAAATTTTAAAAAAATTCAAAATTTACAGTTTCAAACGACATTTGCATATTTGTTAAATCATATAAAATCTCTTAAAATTTGCTAAAACAATCCAAAATTCCCGTCGTGTTTATGTTAGTGCCCGAGTTATGGTAAGCCTTAGCTTCGTAACCAAGTAATTTTAAGAAAATTGTTTTCAGAATTTAAACGAAAACTACATAGCAAATTAAACCTACTCCAAAAATCTAAACAAGAAGTCTTGAAAATTGATCAGCTACTTCTGAAATTTCTCTTTTGTATTCACTCAGCGCAAAAATGCACATGCGAGCTTCCTCAGAAGTTTACTGTTCTCGCTCTAGGATTGTTCATTAATTTTGAAAATAAGCCGAGTGAGGATAGTTTATTTGATTATGGCAAAGCATTTGATGGATCTCTGACTAAGGAAAGGGATGGAAGAGGACTTTCTAAGGAAAACTCTCTCGTATTCGCGTTACATATCGAGCAAATCACGAAAACGCCCATGCAGTCACCCGTTTCCCTAGAATCGAGCCTAGGTCAAACTACTAGTATTCAGCGACTCCGCTCAACCGCTGTTGCGTGCTTGTGTTAATGACATGAGAAAGGTACAGCTGTGATGTGTCTGCTTTGCCGCAAACACACCTGTCTTAGAAAGAAATTTTTCTCTCAGAGGTAGGGTAGGTTACATGAATTGATTTCGAAAGACATCTTTTCCCGTTTATAACATTAATGAATTCTCTTGCCTTTAATGCAACCCTTTATAAATAGTGCCAATATTTTTGAAAATATATAATGTTAGAGAGTTTTAAAGATTTCAGATCTATTGAATGCGTGTAGCTCTCTCTAGGAAAGCTTACTGGAATTCAAACTTCCACTCCAGAAGATGAGCAGGATTTGAAATTAAATTTTCAAGCAGAATAATGTTGCCCTAAAATTCCTAAATGAATATGCGTTAAATCAACAACCCCCTCCCGAATATTATCAAAGCTATATCGCGAATTAGAATAAATTAAGGAATTAAGTTTGAATGAAAAGCAGCAAAAATTATGTATAATTTATTAGGTGGTCCAAAGAAACCATGCGGTGTCCACATCAAGATTTTCTTTAATTTGAAAATGGCAAAAGTAGTTGCGTCATTTGAATTCCTGATTTTGTACAAACTACGGTTGCAAAAATAAATGTCGGGTAAACACTTTTGTTGGGAGGGTTGTTTTATTATTTACGATAGAATAAAAATAC